GCAAGTAGCTCTCAAAATTATAGAACAGTGATGCAAGGACCATTCACTGTCTATCAATCCCAAGAAGACAGAAATGGTCCTTTTCACAAGTAAAAGGATGAAAATGGAATTACAATCTCTAGAGCTCCTAAACACAAAACTTAACTTTGCAACAGAAGTGAAGTACCTAGGTCTCATTTTTGACAGCAAGTTAACGTAAAACACACTTAGAAAACAGAGTCAAAAGAGCATGCATTGATTATGAACAATGCCTTTGAACCGTGGGGCGTACCTGATGAGGTTTCTCCCCAAGAGTCGTCGCATAGACTTACAGGGCCATCATAAAACATATGCTAACATACGGTGTCTGATTGTATGGGTACCGAAAACCCAAAAATTGACAGCTATCCGCAAACTAGAAAAAAATTCAAAGAACAGCATGTCTCACCCCCTTGATATTTGCATCAAGTAGGTTGCTCTGATGATAATAACACGCTTCCGCACGGTTGAAATAGAACCTGGTGAGGCGAGACGTCGCTTTTGGCAGGAGGCGCTCGATACGTTCCCATCGCTTCAAGCGAATACTTTATCTCATCGAGATATACCTTCTATAAACCATGGCCTTCATCAAAAGGTGTGGCTTGTACGGTAAACTATAAGTTAGTCATGGGCCACAATAGATCCATCTGAGTCGCAGTGGAAGGCGATGAGATCATCCCACTCACTTTCAACCCAACCTAAGCCATATAAAGTTAGAACAAATAGAAGAACCGGAAATGGCAGGTACGATTCATATCTACACCGATGGTTCTAAAACAAAAGGCTCAGATGTGGAATATTCTGCAGATCCTTAGACCTAATCATAAAATGGGATGTGAGTAATGGTGTTAGTGTAGTTCAAACCGAGCTCACGGGGATTCTCATAGCAGCAAAATAAATCAACAGAAACAATATCACTGGTAGGAACATGCTAAACTATACGTATAGCAGACAAGCACTACTCACCCTGAACAGACCACGACTTTATTCAGAGTTAATACTAGAATGTCACGAAGCTTTGGCTGAAGTATTCATCAACAATGTGGTCACCTTAAGATGGATCAAAGGTACGCCACATCGAAATGTAACCGTGTTGCTGTTTCACTAGCCAAGAAGGCAGCCAACCAAATACTTTTTGGACCTGGCCCTTCTATTGGGCTGACAAAATCGGTAGTGACATACCTAATTAAAGAACATTTCCTTGTGAAATTCAAGGAAAGATGGGATCAAATAAGAAACTGCAGAGTTGCCAGGGAGATTTTAAGTTATCCTGACAAAACTACAGCAAAAAAATACTTGATCATGGCTAGATAGAATCTGGGCCTGATACAGGTATTCTGACTGATCATTACCAAGTACGGAAGCATCTTCATATTATGGGGCTGCCAGAATCCGCACTCTGCAGGGTGTACGAACAAGACGATGATACCATCGAGCATATCCTCTACGATTACCCGACGCTCTCATTTATTAGAAACTTTGTGTTCGGCGAGTATCGGCTAACACCGGCCGATATAAGAGAAGCACCTCTTGGCGACGTTGTCAACTACATTAAATCTGTAGGATGGCTCACCTAGGAACCTTTTATCTTAGGAGGATACACAATAAGCCTAGTGTTGCCTAAGTGCCGTGGGGTACCCTATACTCCATACGTTACAGATACAGAGATACAGAAGTGACGCATCTTGGAATTTCCGTATGAGCCTTAAACTAAACAGCAATTGACAGAGATAATAGGTGTGAGAATTTCAAAATAAACCAACACGAAGAGTTTAAAAAAAAATGATTGCTGGTGTCTTAAAAATGGGCCAAGTTGCAACTGTTGCATTAAAAGTTATCGCTGAAATCAGAAGAAACTACGTAAACTGACGAATCATTCTTCATCATACAATGCAATCGCTCACACAGCAGGACGAACTATCGATTTTTTAACCAGTAACAACGTCCAATTGATGACTCATTGTCCACATTCACCAGATTTATCACTATTATTTCAACACAATGACACATCAAAAATAAAATGCGTGGCGAGCGTTTTTCTTCGCCCGAAGAGGCCGTTGAGCATTTATAACCTGTTACGGAGGTATTGATTATTAAGGGGAATATTGCGTAATTTGTGTTTTGATTTTTAGCAATGTTTCTCGTAGTATCTAAATAGGTAATATTTGAATCATTAAATGTGACCTAGCGAAAGCTTCCCTCCCAGTCCCACATGAGAAACTTCTTGATTTACTAAGTAGGTAGATAGCTATTTTATGACATTTTTTTAACAGCGGTAATATTCGTTTCTGTTGCCGTCGGTTAACTCCAAACATTTTCACATGAATATTTTGGTTTTTACGATCACCTAGATTTGTTTATTCTCAATAAATTTACCTTGATCCTCCTACAGACTCCTAGATATGATGCACAATTTAAATAAAACTTTTATTTATTTAATAGATATGTAAAGTTACTGTAAAAAATAATATTTTTTGTTTTAAAGACCTTTTATAATTCTTCAATAGCTAGTTTACATGTACCGAAACTAAACTTACATTATTTGCAAAACACTTTCTTTCATAACAACAATGCTACTAAATAATTAATACTTACAACTTATCCCGAAATTAATAATAGAAATATCTTAACAGTTACTCTTTTTAAAAATAATCTAGCCTAGCAATACAAAATTACAGTTTTTATGATGCGTGAAACCAATAAACGCTGTATGCATTTATTAAATAGAGTTTTTAAACTAAAGAAATCTTGAATGTCTTTGGAATCACATGTTTTATGTATTCGAAACATTAAATTCGCTGAAATACAACGTAAAATGTAATACACACTCATGAATAATGCAAAAAAATATGCGAGTTCTGATAAACATATTTATGAACTGAAAATGTATTAAAAATAGTTATTTTTCGACGGCCACTACACAAAATCAAATATTCCGTGTTGGTTTTTAAATGTAAAACTAGGGTATTCCGTACATATCCATAAATAGTGTATATTATTCCACACGGTCATTCCACATTGTTTAGTGCATTGAATAAATAATTGTCATATAACTTTTAGTACGAATAAAGAGACACACAATCTTATAATTATTTAAGAACACATCTCATTTGCAAAAAAAAATATGTACAATCGGTGCATCCCAAATTTTATTGCACGAAAATTGGTCTTTAAGCGAAGTGGGTGCTAAATTAACTGTCAGTAAAAGGTGCATATTTTACGTTCAGAGAAGGTGTACGGAAGGAATCTAATAAAAATGAAGACAATGCTCTCCTTGAAATTTAACAACTATAGGAAGAATAGTATTATTAATATTTCATTACAAAGCCATTGGCTGCTACAACAACACTTTCCAATATTCTTGACATGGACAAAATTAAATGTCGCATGTCGTAGGAATCAATAACTGCCCAAAATAGACCGCGTCTCTTTGATATATCTTTTTGACTACGAAGCCCCCTTGTGAAATTCAAGGAAAGATGGGATGAGACAAGGTAGTGCAGAGTTGCTCTTAAGTTATCCTGACAACACTGCAGCAAACAAATACTTGACTATGACTAGACAGAATCTGCGCCTAGTCACAGGCATTCTGACTGGTCATTGCCAAGTACAAAGCATCTCCATATCATGGGGCTGTCAGAATCCGCACTCTGCAGAGGGTGCGAACAAGAAGATGAGACCATCGAGCATATCCTTTACGATTGCTCGACGCTCTCATTTATTAGAAGATTTGTGTACGGCGAGTATCGGCTAACACCGGCCGATATAAGAGAAGCACCTCTTTGCGACGTTGTCAACTACATTAAATCTGTAGGCTGGCTCACGAGCTAGGAGGTGCCTATCATCTCAGGAGGATGCCGTGGGGGTAACCCACCCGCCACACGTTACAAAGACTAAGAAGCCCCATGCATTTTTAATGGGGTTCAAGTCAGGACTTTTTGTTGGTCAATGCAAAATATTTATGTTTGTTGTTGACCCACTCTCCTACTATTAGGCATTCCAACGACCTGTCCAAATGGCTACCAGTGGGGACTGACAGTTTAGATATGGCAACCCTGTTGTCATTAACAGGGTCAATGATACATATATAGTTATATAGATTGCTTAAAGCTGGTCATTTGCGAGCGGCCATATTGCCTGGCAAATATTTATTAATTTGAATCGGTTTAGCAAAAATGTGTTTTAAAACCAATTTTTAGCCTTTAGATAATTAAAAAAAATAATTGCTTACATTTTTACTTCAAGGTATAAACTTATGTTTATTTTGAAAAATATGGATGATCAATATATATGTAACTATCTATTTCATTGACCTTGTTAAATCACCAGGCTTACAAGGTTGCCATAATTTTACCATATAATAACCTGTCAAAACCCACTGGTAGCCATTCAGTTTGGAATGCCTAATTCGAGCCGTACGAAGTGGAGAGTTACCCTGTAATAAAAAATATAAACATTTACGAGTATAACAAACTGATTCCTTACATGTTGAAAGGTAAAATTGTCAGGAAAAACTTCTCTTAACTGATGGTAACATTAAGTTATTTAAGAAATCACACCCATTAAATTTTGGCGTTCACATTTAGGTTTCGTCAACAGTACGTTAAATGCTCAATAACTTGAGTAATCAAATTACCTGCTTTCAAATCTTAACATTTAATTTTCTTTAAGATTATTGAAAATTGCTAACTAAAAATGGACAACGTATGAAAAACCAAAGCCTATGATTTACCACCTTTTATAATTAGTAAGTTTGAAATTTCAATTCAAATAAATATGTTTATAGTTTATCAAGTTATTTAAAAAAATGGTTGAGTTGTGTTTTTACGATCGTAAAAAAAATATAGTGTGCTACTAGTGCAGAAAATCGATTCCACAGTCGTGTATAAGCAATAAACCTTCCTATAGTGGCGATTTAATTAAATACATGGACATGTGTTTTGTTCAACTCGGAGAGAATATAACACAACTTTCTATTTCAGGTCCTTCAAAGGCAGATGGACATGGATCTTGAATTGATGCCAGAAAACAATAGCAAAGACAAGGGTTCTGGTCCCATTGCTAGGCTGTCAGTATTGCAATTAAGTTCGACTCCTGTCGATCAAGATCACAAGATCCGAGATCATGATTTCAGTGATGACGAGGACGAGATCAGTTCCGGAGAAGAGGAAGCTGCGGATCTTTCTGACAGCGAACCCATCCGCAAGTTGCCACACACTAGGCATAATCTAAAGCAGAGATTTGTGTCTTTATTAAGACGGTTTAAAGTACCAGATTCTGAAGGTATAGGGGCTTTTTTCTATAATTTATTATCCAACATTCTTCTAAATAGTGACAGTTATTCATAGAATAAACAATGGTAAAATATTTTGTCAGGTTTGACATATAAATTTCAAAATAATCCATAATCAATAGAATGGCTTCAATTCATAGCCTATTGATCGAATCTTCAGTTCACTAACATTAATATATATATATTTTTAAAAGCGTTTTAATCCTTAAACCAATTACAATAAAAAATTATTTTGTTTAACTGCGTGATGTCTCCTTGAGATTTTTTTTAAACACTTTCATATACTATGGCAAAAAACAACCTTCGCCTTTAATGACTTCTCATAGTAGTGAAATATTTTTAATTGAAAACATTTATTCTAATATTAAGAAACAATCTAATAGGGACAAATTTCTTGTGGTTTTTAAAAATCTTTTCCGTCAGGTGGAAGAGTTCGTGATTGCCTCGACAATCCAAGTGATATTCAAGCTCTGTTCCAAGAGTTAGAATCGTTGAGCTGTGATGATGATTCAGGTGGTGAACAAGATACAATGTCCATATCTAGCACACCGAAGCCAAGTTTACGTCCTTTTTTTAGTAGTAGCCGAAGTCTTTTAGATAACAGCACTGTACCGTTTGTGGAGTCGGAAAAAGCTGAAGAAAAAACTTGTTCAGGTAAGAAATAGTTCACTAAAAAAAAAGTAGTGTTTCGAGTGGGGTATCAAATGAAAGGTCTTTAAAGAACGATTTTAAAAATGTCTCGCATGTTCAATTGCGTTACTTTTAATACATTCGGTTGCTTTATTTTTTCTTTAATACTTTTCGAAAAACGCTTAAAATTTGTCTCCAAAATAAAAGCAGAATAATCTGAAAAATCACTAACGGAGATAGTAAAGTATAGGTTAGACGAAAGTTATTTATCTTGGGGGCAGTTTTTGGGAAGGGGATAAATTGAAAATTTAAACAGAAATGAGGCTATCGCATGGAGTATCAAACTATCAATTAAAAGCTAGTTGAAATACGATTTCACATTTTATAATATGTTTGGTTACTTTATTTTTTTTTTTTTTTTTTTTTTTTTTTTTTTTTTTAAATCGATTATTAGATAATTTTCGATTAATCGATAATTTTCAATTAATTATTTTCGATTACTCGATTATTTTAGATTTTTCAAAGATAATTATATTCGATTTCGATTAATTAAAATGATCGAATAATCGACTTTATAATCATTAATCGATTATTTTGATTAATCGTTTATTTCGATTAATCGTTTATTTCGATTGATCGATTATTTTCGATTACTTTTAATAATCAATTATTTATTTTGATAATCGTCTAATCCTAGTCATAACTATTAAGATATCGAGTAAAACTAAGTTGTTTGGAACAAATATGAGGATTGGACAAAATATGTTTTAATAAAATGTTGCTGTGGAAAAAGATTCAGGGTGCTTAAACATAACTTTTATGTAAAATTGATATACTTATTTAAACTTAATAATTTCAACCGTTTTCGAGAAAAACGCCTTTTCAAATTTGTTTTGATGAAGGACATCATATTATCCCTGAAATTAGAAACTAAAGTGGGTTATAATCAGAATTTCAAAACTTTATATTGAACAATATAGATAATTACGAAGAAAAGTGCAAAAACTAATATTAGAAAGGAAGAGGGTCAATACCTAAATAACCTAAAAAAAATGTTACTGACGTTAAACGATTTTGGAATTATGTAAATAGCAAAAGAAAAAAATTAATACAACTATAGGGAATCTTACATTTTATGGAGACACTGTACCAGACCAGAAAACTGTGGATATATTTGCAAAATTCTTCTTGTCTGTCGTCAAGAAAAAGCGGTGTACAATCTAGATTTTAAGAACAGTAATTCAACTTTGACTAACGGTATTTTCCAAATAAATTGTATTAGTGAAACTGATTGCATCAAAGCCGTTAAAAAACTCAAATCCAAAAGAGCTGCAGGTATTAAGAAATTCTAACGACCTGTCAAAATGCTCACAAGTGGGAACTGACAGTTTAGATATGGCAAATCTGTGGCCTGCTGTCATTGACGGGTCAGTAATACATATATAGCAATGAAGTGGAGAGGGGTAGAATGATAACTGTCAATGAGTATAGACTCTATTTATTACAATTTTGTTTTGCACATTTTGTAAACAAGATTCAGGGACAGTTTAAGAACATGTTGTGCAACAATTATAAAATAGTGCGTCGCAAAATAATTAACAGGTATAATTAATACTAAATCGAAATCAAAGCAGAAAAATCACAAATATAAGCAAGCTAATAAAAAACTGATGCCAAAAAAAGCTTACAACAGTCACAACATAAACAAATATGAACATGAACATCATGGCGTAACAAAGCCAAGCCTGGAACTTGTTTACTCTTCTTTAGGGTAACCTCTCATTGTCATTTACGTGTGTAGGTAAGAGTGGAAGGTTGAATCATGTACAATTTCTACACTCGTCATGGATGCACAGACGGTACCTTATCATTCTACCCTCTCCACTTAATTGATATATAATTGTATAGATTGCTTAAAGAGGGTCGGTTTGCGAGTGGCTATATTGCCTCGCAAGTGACCATTAATCAGAATCAGTTATATCAATGTATTTCGGAATAGATGTAAAGCCGTCGGTCCCGAATCCATGGATGTTGGGCCATTAAAGATTCTACCTCAGGTTGGAACACCAGGGGATTCGGCTACATTTCACTCCAACACCCTGTATTTTTTTCTCAACGACATTTTATTAAAGGCTGTTTATCATATTTTCCAAATAACCTGCGCCTCCTATATATCGCAATAGTTATGACTCACCCTGTATATTAATTATTTGAAAGCATGATACATTAAATAAATCCATTAATACATAATGATCATTTATTATCAATAAAAATATATACCTACCGATAATTATGAAATTATTTTTCACTCTCTATAGGATCTGATGGAAACGCGGATTTCTGTTATACAGACCCTGAAGGTCAAAGTGATCCTCAGACTGGATCTCCCCCTCGCGAGCAAACAGTGACTTTTCGAAAGCACATTGGTGATAATGAATTTAGTAACATTATGCAAGAACTGAGTGAACGCAAATCAAAATTGTTCAGATCATCTACTTCCTCTGACAAGAAAAAGAAAAATTCACTTAGTGTAAGCTCCGAACCTCCTGCAGAAACACCCACGGTAAGAAAATGTTCATGTGTGTATTTGATAGCGATTAAAACATTTTTTTTTTGTTTGCTTTAGTCTCGAAAAGTATTTTTAGAATTAGTATCAAAATTACTACCTTCTGAAGAGACTGTGCTTCCTGAGTGTGTTGTATTTTTAACTGGTCCTGATACTTTAACAATACCAATTGCTGCACGATTTGGAGGACAATATAAAGTTTTTCAGCCCCTGTCAGCTGTTGAAACTAAGGCTGTTCTCACAGCTATCTTCAGTAAAATTCATAAATAGTAAGTACATTTTTTATTCCTTGTGCTATATTGTTCTTGTTTTTACGTAATTTCGCAAATTTTTCTTTAATTTTCTAGCTGCAATAGCTGTGCCAAACCGAATACGTTCGTCAAACTACTACTTATTGGCGGCGACACTTTGATAGGATGGTTTGTTCGGCCATATGTTGAACTCTTATCCAGCAAACCATCCGAATGGCTGTCCTTCACCCGTGTGTACATAGTTCCCTTAGGAAACTGCAGCATATCAAGACATCTCTCCACTCTCGACCAGGGCTATCAGTCCCTTTTTCCTAGTGACCAAGATGTGAAGATTGATGAATTGTCACAGAGATTACAACGGTATTTAGCAGTTCCACCTTCAGCTCCCGTCGCGCAGATACCTATCGGTGAGGCCATGCTCACCTGCCATGATGAGAATAGTCAATTGTTTATTCCTTTTATAAGCGTAAGTTTTCTTTTTTCATGTTAATATAATTGTCAATTCAAAGCATAATGCAAATATCTATTGTCTCTTTAATCCATTCAACTTTTGGAACAACTTCAAATGGATATTTTTCAGTGGGTGTGGCAGAGGGTGTTGCATGGGGCAAGGTACAAACTTAAATAATATATTCATGTTCTATGATAACAAATATCCAATTCTCTGTCGTTCAAAGATCAGAAGATAACTTAGTATGGCCATGTTTTTAAATTTTTGGTTGTTTGTATCGTACTTCATGCAACACCCTGTATATTCTTTTTTAAGGGTACTGAACACGAACCTGAAATGTTTGACCTGAATTTTTTCAGGTAGAAGGTTATAAGCAAAAAACAGTTACAAAAGTGATATTTTTTCCTCAATAACACATAAGTTATGTGGTTTTCGACTATATTTTTCATCTACAAGTAAAGTTCACTATTTCCCCGTATAATATTATAAGGTGGGATCTTATCGTTACTGTGCAAGTATCTGAAACACGATAAACTACAATTAAGTGAGTACGGTCCATCTAATCAAAAAGTATTTTGAATAATAATATGAATTAGAGATAAAGAATTTCCACTCTTTTTATTTGAAACATTTTTTTGATTTATTTATATACAGGTCTACTTTGTATTGTTCCTACATGGCTATATTCTAAATCGTAAAATTTAAACTGAACTTCCTTTCGAAAATTTAATGATACGCTGTTATTGAAAATTTTCCATTGTAAAAAAAACAAAAATGCTATTTTTGGTTTTTACTGTACAACTCCATAATGGCTAGTATTTTTTTTTTACTACTCTGTTTCCCAAAATAGTAATTTTTTGCCTTCGTATTTGTTACTTTTTAGAATATAGCAATCTTGGCATATGATAAAAGAAGCGGTCTATGTACAAAGTGGACAAGAGTAAGCCCATGTTGTTTAGACCAAAATATGAATGTTGCTATGGTAATAATTTCACAAATCGTTATTAAAATTGACTCGGAGGCATAACTTTAAGCAAGGAATATTATTAAATGTATTATTTTATATTTTGATACAGGATGTGCCACATTAGCGATTCCTGATGATGAAATTGGATCGTACATTTTTTTGACGAAACTTTTTAGTAATTTTGATTATAAATTATGATATAGACATAATTTTTATGTATTTATGTAAAATTGTTAATCTTATTTAAACTTAATAATTTCAACCGTTTTCGAGAAAAATGCAATTAAACACTTACATCACATGTCTCTGGTTTTAAATAAGAAACAGTAGACAAACTTGTAACTCCACATAATAAACAAAATAACTACTCAAAGTAAATGTTCTTTCTGACATCCTCACACGTCTACGTCTTTTTCAATTTGTTTTGATGAGTTCCTAAAAGTACTTTCAAATGGGAAAGCATAGACAAACTTGTAACAACGAATAATAAACAAAATAACTCAATAAAAATAAACTCAAAGTAAATATTCTAAGTTCTACACCTTTTTCAGTTGTATTTTTTTCATAAAAGAATTTCATTGACAAAAATTAAGGGTAACTTCATATGTCTTTAAAATTAGAAACTCAGTGGGTTGTAATCAGGATTACTGAAATATTGCGTTTTTCTCAGAAAACGTTTGAAATTATCAAGTTGAAACAGGTAAACAATTTTACATAATTCTAATCAAAATTACTAAAAAGTTACTTGATGAAACTTTTTTTAATAAGAATTTATGAATACGTTGTGAAATTAACAAAGATTAAAAAAAATCTACTTAACACCCTCTATCTTATTTCATAGCAACATTTTAATAAGACATCTATAGATCAATCCTCAAACTTAGGTTTGGAGTTATTATATTAAAAAAAAAATAATAATAAAATCACTTGTAACTACTTAACCAAAAAAAATTAATGTGCTAAATTACAGAGTCACATTCAGCACCTTGAAAAACATTTAAACATCTAAAAAATGATTCCTTATTTTTTGCAGTCACTGTATGAAACGAATATACCATAGAATTAAAAACTAAACATTCAGTTTTTGCTTTTTCTTGTTCAAATTTATAGTTTTTTTTATATTGCTAACCATTCTGTCTTTTTTTGAAATTCATATTTTATGTTTTTGAGCCAACTTAAATTTGTTTCGTAAGTCATATTTGTGTCCTTGTTCTGAGCCATATAACATGAATTGTTTTTGTCTCAGGAGGTGAGAGTTGGTCCAGCTGACCAATCCCAATCAGTCTCAGTAGATTTGGAAGACTTGATCTGTTCCAGTCCCCCAGCACCTTCTCTGACTCCACCATCATCTCCCAACGTACAAGTCCGAGATTCTCCCTGGGAACCCCTCGAACTTCAAGTAGATTATTGGCAGTTACCTAAGTTCGGTGAAACCATTATTAAGACTGAGAAAGACAAGGCCAAACAGGATGGTAAAACATCGTTGAAGGCCGTTTTTAGAGGTCTGCAAGCTTCGCCGACTACTATGTTAGGTCTCAGTCTTACCATGCACTTAACCAATAAGGAAAAGAAACAAAAAAGTAAGTTAACGATTCTTTTTTGCTCTCTGTATTATTAAAATGTATTTTTTTTTTCAGTTATGAGATTAGGAAAGAAAAAGGAGAAGGAAAAAGATACAGAACCTCGCAGTCAGAATGTAGAGGGTGTTTCAAGACTGATTTGTTCTGCACGTGCTTCACATAATACACCTATGAAAGGTAATTTTTTAATTCTAGAATAGTATCATATTTTTTTATAATGCTCCTAATCTTTAAATATTAACAAACATTTTTCATTTTTCCCAATCTATTACTTACCTCTACTTAGGTATGTCCAACATTATATTCTGCTTCTTTTACCAAATTCATAACTCGTACAAATAAAAAAAAAAATGCGAGCTTTCTCACTATGTCTTCTGTATCCGTAAATCAGTATCCTTGTATCTATAAAGCCTTTCTGACTAACTTCTTAATTTCTTCTTGAACTGGCCCTACCAGAAATTCACTTTTCTGGATATAAAGAAATGCAAAAGGTCCGAAATTTTGTTTTGGCAGTTGGCCAATAAATAAATTGGTAAAATAAGCCTGGAAGATTAATAATTGAGCCACATCCTGATACACATGAATAAATTATTTAGTTTCAGCTTTATTTATATTTCTTGGATAACAATTATTAATATTTTTTAGTTTACATCGATGGGGTTGAATTCGGTGGAGTGAAATTCTTCCAATTGAGTTCCACCTGGCAAACTCACGTAAAAAGCCTGACTGTGGCACTAGCCGGGGTGCCTCTGGCCAGTACCGAATTGCACTGAGATTCCTACTATCATATCTACTGCCGGATTGATTGATTATACATATATACATAGAAGTAGCATCTACTTATATATTTTCCATATTGTTGCTTTGCTTCCTTATCTAATTAAAAAAAGAACGCAAAAAGATCGTTGTCGCTTCTAGTCACTATACGGGGTCACCCAGAGATTTCGTTCTTTGTAGTTCTGTTGCTACATGTTCTGTTTCACTGAATTTTTTAATGCAATTAAATGTATCGATATGAAAGATTGAATAATTTTCAGTTGTCAGCTAAATTAAAAGATAATTAAAAATCTATTGTTCAAATAAAAAATATTGCCAAAATATTGCCAAAATATTTCTGAGTTTATAATTTAATTAGACATTGAGACTATGATTTAATAAAAAACATACAAGCAGTATCGGCAGTAGCATCTTGATGTCAAAAGATTGCGCCAAAATCCTAATTCAAAAGGTCGTTTACTGTGTCTTGTTTGTTGATGCTATTTTGAACTTTAACGAGTTTGTCTTATTTTCTGAATTTAATTGCATAATTAGATTGTATTCAAAAATTCAAGTACCTCAAATTTAATTGTATAATAAAAACAAGTGTAACAATTATACTCTAAAGGAAGCAACCGTACTATTAAATGCAGTTGGTTAGTTTCATAGAATTCATTTTTATTTACATGGGTATATAATATTAAATTGAAGTTATTTATACAAAAATTTGCCACCTGTTATTCTTATAAATTGAAGACTTTTATTAGAATCATAGTAAAATATCGTTTAAGGAGTCATAATGTGTTTATGGAATTTAATTTCTGATCTTTCTTCAGGACTAAGACTACCAAATATGTCATAGACTTTTAAGAAAGTAATCTTTTATTTTTTAAGAGTAGTATCATTTAGTAACGTTTTCATAGGATATTATTTTATTTACTTTGTACTTATAAATATATTTTCATTTATCTTATTTTACCATAGTATTATTTTTGTTGATTTTGAAATATTTACTTTTTTAAATTCCGCCTATATTATTTTGGCTGTTTTCTTTTTCAGTATTATAAATTCGGTGTATACATGTTGATGTAACGCAAAGTATTTTCAATGATTGAATATTTTTATGGATATTCGAAGTCTTGATTACTTTGGAAATATTAGCAGCATAAATCTAATATATAAAAATGTTTTAAACTTTGTTTAAAATTATAACAGTAGATTTTAAAATTGAAATTTGCTTTTATAACAAAAACGTATACCATAAAAACATTATTTTTGCTCTAAATTATTCAGAGTGGCCTCTTTGCTTTACAGCTGGCATTAAAACAGCTTTTACTATTTATCAGAGAAGTAAAAATTAAGACTGTTTTCTTTTCTATTATTTATTAACATTACTTTTCTATTTATTAGGACATTAAATTATTTTATTATGGAACTAGCCAGCTGCCCAAACTTTCAAAGTTGACAATACAACCTATCAAGGCTCAAAAACTAACATATGAAAGACTCTTATTTAAAGAATACTCTGTATATGTGATATAGTTTGTAGTTTGTTGTTGAATATCGAGTATGCTTCTTAATTTTTTTATTGATATCAAACTTTTTTACATTTTAAAAAGTAATAATAGTTGAATTGAATTTTGTTGAGATGAAAAGAAAAACAGATTTTCCAAACGAATATGCTAGATATAACCCAGTGTTCAAGGCGTGGCTTTTCATTTTTTTTTTGTTTTACCGGAAACATTTACCTCTTCATCTCAACATAATCATTTTAATTAAATATTCTAAGCAAATGTTATGTGTCTAATTTTGAATGAATAATTTAAAACGATTAAAACTTCGTAGTTTTCTATTATAAAAAGTGGTGGATACACTGTTACGTTTTAAACATGGTGGTTTTTGATATAAGGCAAGATACAATTATTTTCGTTTAATGCATTTAGTGATTTTATCTGCCAAAATTCAAGTTAACTGAATAAGATATTGGTTTATTCCATAATGATTGAAATTTGTAGTGTCATTTTTTTTTTGTTTAATTTCAAATTGTTTAGTGATATTTTGAATTCAATTTAAATAGTTGGCTTTAGTTCATATTATATGAGTAACATTAATTTAACAGTTTCTGTGTTCTTTAAAAAAATGTCAAAAATGTCGAAAAATGTCCTACTTTTATATTTTTGGATTTGCTGTTTCTGAATTTACTTAAAAAGTAAAGAAACATCAAATAGATTATTTATTCAAAATACGAGCATGGTTTGTAGAAAAATTGTGGCCAAGCCACTAATTGATATGCTGCATGCGAATTACCTACTGCTCGGTATCACTGATATCAGTTTTATTAGATTGTAAGTATTTAGTACATAAGATATTCATTATTTTTTTTTTGTAATTTTTAGAAGAGTTTAATAAAATTATGTGATATATTTAATATTCCTATTCAATTACAGTTTCCATTAATTTTTCAAATTTCGTTTCCATTGTATTATAATTGTGATTGTTGTGTAAAGTAATTATTTATAAAAGACATTTAATGTTTTCTGAAATTGTCCGCAAAGTTGTAAAATATGCAATAGCAATACCCCCCGAACATTTTAAAATGATGGAAATACTTAAAAAGGTATAGACTATATTATTTTCAAATCCTGATTTTGTTCATTAACTGTAATATATTTAAAATCATTAAAAATAGTGTTTTATTTTTGGCACACATTACAAAGTCATTTATTGAGACGTGTTCTGTTGCACAAATATATTGATATTAATCGGTCATGTAGCAATAATCACAATTTGTGAAAACGACGAGAGAAATGTGTCTATTTTTTCATCTAATGACTGGCTCCAGGTTACCATTTTCATCTCAAAAGTTAGGAAGGTTGGCTTAGCTCAGCTCCACTTCACTCATGCCTGATCGATTAGGTCCATTTTGCATATTCCTGTAGCAAAATAACTTCTTTAAGCTTTTATCAATTTTTAGTCGCCTTTTAAGTCTTTCTATTATTGATTTAATGATTAACAGATTTTAAAAAGCTGTATTTTTTATATGGTTATATATGCTGCGTTTGAATATCCTCATCTAATGCATCTGTGATGTAAATCTTTAATCGCGTGATTCAAGATGTAAAAAATGGATCCGATGTGGATATTCAAATGCAGCAATAGTATTGCTATCGTTTGCTGACTGATGATATATTTAATTAAGAATGATTTATTACGGAAGGCAAATTCAGAAAATATTAGATGGCGCTTATCATATTTATACTTATTGTTTTTTTGGATATTGTCTTTGTGTTTCTAGGGATACAATTAGTGAAACACGTCATTTGCTACGTTGGTTTGTAATATGAACATATCGAATATGGTAAATGTATATATAACCTATATGTAAGTAAATTATTTTCATAAAAACAATATCTTCAAAATTGGCTGTTTATTTATCTTAAGAAATCTTTTAATAAAATGTTTTTCTTTAAATTAATTTCTGCCATAGGTGTACCTTCAAGATATTTCTCATGAGTGTTAGCTAACTTTTTAAGTCTCACGGAATTAACTAATAAGACACAGAAGGATCAAAATACTTGGCTAATTTTTTTTTTGACAATAGTCACTAAATAGTATTCTTATTGGTGAACTCCTGAAAGCAGAGTTTGTGTGAGCGAGGGATGGCCACTTAAAGATTATTTATATTGTTTTGACTTACAACTGAGGAATCCCTCATTCACAATTATCAAGATAGCCCTCCGGGTTTTAATTTGGGTGTCATAACAAAGGAAATGACTTCTATTGTGCCACATAAACCATGCAAATTAAAGAAAAAATCACTGGTTGATGTAGGATCAGAACCACTGTCGTCTTTGGCCACTGAATGCCAGGAAAGAATACCGTAGACTTACTGGGCTATCTAGCAAATAAAAAAGGATTGATAAATATTTGACAATGTTCAGTTCCTTCCATCATGAATCGAAATTTTATAGGCACACGTTGGTAGATTTTACGGAAAACTAAATTAAAACCATTTATGATTTCAAGAAAGTGAATTAACTAGCACATGACGTAAAAATTGAATCCATTTTTAGATCTGTAATAAAAACATAATAATCAACGATTCGAATAGAGTAGATTTTTTGGGCATTGAAAATGATTGAGCTTGCTTGCGTTTGTTGGCTCTAAAATCACTAGAGATCATTTTTTATGTCCAGGGTCCTGGAGAGTTTAAAACTCTTAAATTTTATAATTAAAAATCGATAATATATTAGAAAAAGAACATGAATGAATCATATAAGAAAAATTACAATTTAAAGTTGCTGTGCTAAAGGATTATTGCAGTATTTTTCAATAATACAATTATTTTTTGGATGATTTCTACAATATTCCTTGCTTAAAATGAAATACTCTAAATTCTGAATTAGACCTGTTTCAAAACATATTTTGATGCCAAATAATTTTGACTAAAAATCAAATCCAAGTTCAAAAAATTTAAAATAAAGTATTCGATACGCTGTTGATTGCTGAGACGAAAAGTAAGCTATAAAAAAAAGATTCTGATTCAGTTAAAACATACCAATTTTCTAACTTACTAATTGAAAAATAATAGCAATTTTTTGTAATACTCGTATATTCCTTTACCTTACATCCGTATTCACAAAGCATTTTTAATTGGTTACCTATTCAAGGTTTTACAGCCTTGAATATAGACGTCAATTCAAAGAAAAGTTAAGAGTTGGATTTTTCGATCACATTTTGAATTATTAAGTGGAGAGGGGTAGAATGATAACTGCCAATCGAAAAGTATAGACACTATGCACAATTTCGTTTTGCACATTTTAGGTTTGTTCCAACAACAATCTTGGAACCATACACAAACCAGTTTAACAGATGTTAAATTTAGAATTTGGTAAATAAAAAAATTATAAAACTCATTAAAAGATTTATAAATTTTTATTATTCGATTGGTTAGTACATTAACTTATTTTATTTTTTACTGTATCTAAGTTAGAATAATAGTCCTTTTAACTTTTTACACTCATTACCTCACAAAATAATATACTATAAATAATGATAATGAATAAAAACCAAATTACGATCCAGACTACGATCGATGATGCTATCAAAACGAATATAATCACATTTCCAGAGTTGGTCGTGATTGATTTACGAGCTTACTTTCGTTTTGCGCATGTCTTGACAATTCGTTCCTATTCAGACCCAGGAACTGATTTGACAGTACAGAAACTGGTTTGTGATTAGGTTTGAGTATGTTGGAACACTAGAAAATTGTCAGTTTTGAGTCCGAGGTTTGTTGGAACACCAAATCTAGACTGCGCAGAATCCCGACAGTACGTAAACCGATTTGCTATTGTGTTGGAACAAACCTTGTAAACAAGATTCAGGGACGGTTTAAGAACATTTTGTGCAATAATTATAAAATACTGCATGAGGTATAATTTAATACTAAATCGAAATCAAAGCACAAAAATCACAAATATAAATAAGCAAGCCAATACAGAACTGACGCCAAAAAAGCTTACAACAGCCACAAAAAACTAATGCTGAACAAAGCAAAATCTGGAATTTGTTTACTGTGCTTTAGGGCAACCTCTCCTTGTCATTTTCGTGAGTAGGAGTGGAAGGTTGAATCTAATTTCTACACTCGTCATGGATGCGCAGGCGGTAACTTATCATTCTACCCTCTCTACTGATTTGATTATTACTGAGATTACTAAAATGCAAATAAATGTTTGGTTTTATAAAATTATTAACAAATTAAATATTCGTTATTTTTTTGAAGTAATCAATAGAAAAACATGTAAAAAATGTCGTATACCAAGATTATAATAAATAACTGTTTCTGAAATATCGCTTAAATCTCTAGAATATTCATTATAATAAAGTTTGAATCTTTAAGGTTTTACATGCGGATAAATTTAAAGATGATTTGTGAATTAGACTATAAGGATATTTGTTAAAAGATATATGCAAAAAGAACACTGGAGAACTTAAATATCTACAATGTTTAAGAATACCTACTTCAAATGCGTTTTTTTTTTCAACACTACTATTTTTGACATAAGATCTTGTCAGTTAACGTTGTAGAATAAATAACATGTCATTTTTATAATTCATGTACATACAAGGCCTGTTCGGAAAGTATCCCACTTAAAGTCGTCTCATTTGAAAACAGTTTTCTCACTGTTAGAAGCGCTTTTTATAGTTTTTATAGTACTTTTAATTTTGAGAACATCAGAAATTACAGACAGCCAGTTCAGGCCTGTTGAATATTTGCAATTGGTGGCTTTAATTTTTCTTACGACTCTGATAGGCGTTCTAAACCACTTTTAATTTACAATACACCATGGGATTGGAAAAATTTGAAGCAAACTCTGCTTAGTATGTTTGGTGAGGAAGGCAGGATACTTTCTGGACACACCTCATATATACTTTATTCTGTATTTTCTTATTCATTGGATAATTATTTGACAGTTATCCCAAATAAATTATGTACATTTTCTTCACACATGTATTGCGGTGTTTGCCGCATCAGTAAGATTTTCTGATAACAATTATGCTGTCAACAGTAGTGTAATTAAATAATATTGCGATCATTATATTTTGTAAAACTGTGATCCATTACAAATGAAATAGGTTTGGAATTTACCAACATTTCTAGAGAGCCATGAATCTGTGATTTGAAAGCAGCTCATTCCAAATTAATACAGGTAATTGTTTTATTCGCTTTTTTTACATGAAAAAAAAAAAATAATACTTCAGAAACTACAAATATAATCAATTAAAAATCACAATTTTTCATATATTTTTTTTGTGAATAGAATTGAATTAATATAAAATTATTTAAATTAATTTTTCTTTAAAAAAAGCGATAAAGCAAATCTGTTAATATTGATGTTTGAATGTATACTGGTAGTATAGAGTTACTGTTGTATAAATGCAATAAGGATTGAAATAGTATTGTTTATATATACTGTATACATAATAATAAACATGTGTACTTTTAGTCTTTGATTTTATTATGCATGTATTTTCCTCATTTAACCATCAACTACACTGTTAATATCCTGTTATTTCGTTAAAGATTCAAAATACAAAAAAACTAGTGAAAAATCTTTTGCTTGTCTTTAAGTCACTCTGGAGAGACATGGAAATTAGCCGTCGCTTCTCCTCAAGCTTAGTCTGCTCCAGGGGTTAAAATTTACTTGTAAGGGGGGTAAATTAGGGAGAGTTTTATAATAAATTTGGGAATAATGGTGTTTTGTTTTAATAAAGGCTCACATTATAAATAATAAGAATTAAGATGAACTGAGACGTATTACCCACAAGTAGTTGTGATGTTACTTTAATTCGTTAACATTAATAAAAATGAAATGAATTTACTTCTGTTGACTGAAGGGATATTGAAACTCAACCATGGAACTCCCGGCTAAAAGTAATGATATATCTAGTGATTCGATACGCAATCAGGTATGGTTCAATTAAAGTTAGTTAGGTTCTTTTAAACTGTTTTGGACGCCGACCGATTTGATTTAAACAAATTCAATAAAGGAAAAACAAATCGTGGGCTTACTGCGAAAAGTGACTAAAGTCAAATTATAAGTTACTTGATTTAATATGACAAATTCATATTTATACCTCCTGAAAGTACTAAAAAACTCGATCAATATGACTTGAAATGCTTCTGGGTAGCCAAAGACGAGAGAGAAATGAAAACGATGAGTTGGTTTTTGGCATTCGTCTGAATCTGAGGTAAGTAGCGATGGTGCTTTAGTCTTCAGTCGTTGCAGTGAAGTAATTTTAAGTTTTTGATTTTATATAAAAGTATATATTTCGTGCACAAAGGGATTGCGGGGGCTGCTTGCTTCATATTCGGAAAAGCGTTGGATTCACTCCACCGGTTTATTTTCTTATATTGTTAATTAAGTAACGTAATTTTTCTTAGATTTTTTTCTTTTTAAAAATCGCATTCATGCGATTGAAATACAATTTCAGATTTTTTATTTTTTTTTTCATATCTAGAAATTTAATTTTCATTTAGTTAATTTGTAAAGGATATTGGTAATTTTTTAACATTTGCTATCCAATGTATTTTTAGAAGAATTAGTCAAAAATATTCGGGGAGATTTCACAAAATATATATTTTGCCAATAAAAATTAATGTATTTTCTTGTTTCATCGAACCAGCTAAAAATTCGTGTTTATTCCGATAACTACGAATTTTTCAGTTTTACAACTTCTTTATTTTCCCTAAAGTCAGTAAATAGCAGATTGTTTTCATGCATACTGAAATGACCACAGTAATATGGTTGCCCTCATAGGCTATTAGGAGAAATGTTCTCATCTTCAAAAATAATTATATTTAAAAGAAATTTAATTTTTGGTGATAATTGAAAATTTTGCAAAATAATAAATATGCCCCTGGAGAAATTTTCAAGGACAGCTTTTTGGTTACTAGATTTTAATTTTCTGTGTGAATACCATTAATATTTGAACAACTAAATAAAAACATTGTAATTCTTAATGAATTGTCAGAAACGAACTTAAAATTTGAAGAAAAAGAATAATATCTATAATACAATACTAAAGTGATAGAAATAACCCAAATCCTCGAACAAAAGACTATCGCATTTTTAGTTACAGTTTGCACGAGTCTTATTTCAGTTACGCTTTGTTGTTGCTTAGCCGCATAAACTTTGTATTAAGGTGCGTTTACACGAATACAAAGTCACTTTGAAAAAAATTAAGATTACATTTTGTCTACAAGTTCTAAAACAATTTACTTCCGTACTTTAAATAAATAAATTAATTTCCCAGCTGAACATTGATTTTTAGCGTTTAGTGCAAATTTGTGAAACAGATTCTTTGTTAAAAAAATACATATATAAATATTTATTGGATAACTCCTACAATTTTTGTTAATCAATATCATTTTCTTCACAACTGACTCTGATTCAGACTCATTACTACTTACCATTGTTTCTAAATTAATAATAATTGGTTCTAGATCAGGAACATCTAATTGTTTGTATTTTTCCCAATCAGAAACAATTATATTTTTAGTGTGTCTTACAAAATTGTCCCACTGAGTATCTGTAACATTACTCAAAGCTTCTGACCCAGTCTGAAATACATCTTCTGGTGACGACTTTGTTAAAACTTTTTCGTCATAAAATCGTTTGCACTAGGACCATACCATCTCTATTGCATTGTACTGGCAATGATATGGAGGAGCTCTTAAAATTTTATGCCCGTATCCCTCAAAATACTTTTGAAATATCAAAATATACAAATTTTTAACAAATTGACATAATAACATGATGTGATTAATCTTCGACGTGCCAAAATCTAGTAACTTTTTGTTTCATCCAATTTACATTTAAACAATAAAGAAAGTCTACCAACAGTAATTTCAAAAAAAAGTATTAAATAGAAAAATCAGATACTGTATAATTTTCACTTTGTGTATATTTCGCTTTAAAAAGTTAAATACAGAAAATACTTAATTACTAATTATATTTGGCTCAATTATACTCTCACTTTCATCAGTCTTCTCAGATTTTCCTTTCCGTTTTTTAAGATCTTCTGCAAGATATCTAAATCTCAGCATACATTCTTCCTAAAATTGTAAAAAGAATAAAAGTACTAACAAAAAAGGTTGGCATTTAAATTATGCCATTACAATTTTATTGTTAATTACCTTAGTTTTTTCAGGAACTAATTCAGATATTCTTTCCCACCTATCTGCAGCTCCTTTAGGGAATTTCGAGAGAGCTTCTTCTAACGCCTGTTGCTGTGGTTGACTCCACTTTGTTATTCCATCACTAATATCCACTTCCTTCTTGGTTTTTTGTTTTACTTTAATCTGTACTTCCTCTTCTTGTTCAGCTGGTAATCTATATCCATTCTCTTTCATCTTATTTGCCATATAAGTAACTTCAGGTACAGATCTATTAAGAGTTTCTGCAATTTTTTCCCACCTGGCGGCAGTGCCTTGAGGAAATTTTTTTACCAGTCTGACTAGTTCAGCTAAGTCATCATCTGTCCATAAACCACCAGATATTGGGATAGTAGATGTTGAACTATTTGAATCAACATTTAAACCTATTTGCTGAACTTCAAAGTTGGGTCCTTCTGGAACAACAAATTTATTTCTCTTTCTAGCAGTTTTCACTCGTACAGGCTCAGGTTCTGGTTCAGGTGTTGGAGGTCTGTTGACTTCCTCAATTTTTTCCTTGACTGCTAATTTTAGAAGACCAAGCCAACTTGGAATAGATGTTATTAGAAACCATAAAAAACGAGGAATTTGAATTGGAAGAGTATCATAAAATGATGGTTTAGGAATAACAAAATCAAAATCGTCTTCTACTTTCCACTTATTTTTTGGTTTTTTCTTTTTTGTTTTCATATCCTCCTAAAATATAGGAAATGATAAATATATTTTGAACTACAAACAAAACATTAATAAAATTTATCTCTTTGAGATAATTTAAGTTTGTTTTATTCTGTCCTTAATAGCCCAAAAGCATACTGCAAATTTTGGCTCATCTAATAATTAAATGAATTCACATAAAACATGACAGGGATAATTTTGTTCGCCACGAAAATTTTCCAGAAATAACATGTACATCATTAAAGGGAAACACTTTCTTCCCATTAACATTACACAAAAAAATGATATCCATGATTAATAGGTAAAAGCCATTAAACATATGAATCACTAATAAAAATTCAGATTTAAAAGGTAGGTTAACAATGAATTAGTATTATAATTTTCTGGGAAAAAAATATGTCAGTCATGTCTTATGTGATTCTTTGAATATGAAAAAAAAAAATAACTACTTTGCACAGGATAGTGATTGGCACAGGTGCCGTTTGGTAAAGTACAATGTTGTTATATGACTTTGGAGCATATTTTATTTCGACCGAAATTTGCAGTGATCTCTCCTACCATAAGTATTTATACATTTTTTACAAAGAGCTTAAATTTTAAGTTAAAACATTCTCATAAATTAGCTGTAAAATAAAGACAGGGACCTGGACTACTTACCAATGTCAATTGTCTTTCAAAGTAAACACCCCAGTTTACAAGGTACTGTCCGATGGTAATGATAACAAAGAGAATAATTAATACTTCAGTCATAGCCATTTTACGAACAAATCTATAATAAAACAATCCAGACTTCCAATTTGGCAAGCCATTAAGTAGAACTTCATCATAATACTTTCTTTTAACAGAATTTCTTAGAACATCATATACAGTTACTAAGTTACGAAATTGCTCTGATGTATCAACATCTTTGTTTTTATCAGGGTGTAGCTTAAGAGACAATGATCTGAAAGCTGATTTAATTTCAGAATTAGTAGCATCCTAAAAAGTAATTAAATTAATATAAAAATTAAGAACTCTATTGTTGGTTTGTTTACAAAAAGACGAGTGTGAATGAAATAACTCTTGTAACTTTAACATTGATCCTAATTAATTACAAATGTTCTAAACCTACAACCTGTCAGTGAAATAGTGATTCAAACGAACCGATGGAAAAAAAATTTGTATTAACAATGTCTAATCATATTTTTTTAATTTTGTTTCATTTTTGTTGTTTTTCAAGTGACACACTATCAACTGCCAAATTTACCAGTTATTTCTTCACTTTATACCAGATTGTGGGAAATCCCATTATCAAGAGCTCAGACAAGCAGTCTTTAAAAATTACAATTTTATATTATTTTACAAGAATTTCTTTGTTTGGAAATCAATTTAAGTTGTTTCCTAACATAAAAATTAATATCTAGCAAGACCCTCAAATATTTTGTGCTACAGCATAGAATAAACATATTTTTCATTTTTACAACAGATGGATTTAACCAATAGCCTCGCAATTTGCGACATAACACCCGGCAACACTATGTATTGAATAGATGAAGGTATATAATAAAAAAGCTATTCCTCCTAAAACTATGTATTGAATATGTAGGTGTATAAAATCTATTCCTTAAACTTACTTTTGTAATATTTAATAACTCATAAAAATTATTGTGTTTTACTTCATCAACAGCATCAAATACTTCCAGTTGCTCCGAATCCCAAGCTTTAACGGAACTTAGAACAGTTATTAGAATAATTAAATAAAAGATTTTCATCCTTTAAGAAATCATAAGTAGTTCAATATGCCAACAATACAAAATGTCAAATTCAATTTTAAAAGAGGTTAGGTCCGAGATCTGTCATCGTCATCCATCATACCATGATATTCTGACCGCTAGATAGCAAGTTAACAAAGGAAACTGATGCTCTAAACTTTTACTCGTATTTGGATTACGAGTAAAATAACTACTCGTAAGTTTTAGGCTATTTATAAACAGAACTTATCTGAGTCGAACTTGTGTAAGTCGTCCTTGAACTAAAATCGAAGTTCGGTTACAACGCTTCTAAAGTTCTAGGTAGTTCTGGTGTTAGATTGGAATTTAGAGATTGAAATTAGCAAATTTGTAACTGTTATGTACATTTACGGATTTGTTACAACCCACCTCTAAATTCACGCTATATAACCGAACTTCGATTTTCGTTCAAGGACGACTTACCCAAGTCCGACTCAGCTGAGTTTTGTTTATAAATACGGGCCTAATAAAGTCTTGTTATTAAAATTATTATTATTATTATTTTTTAATAAAGATGTACAAAAATTATTCAAATAAAATTACTTCTTTTGTACTTTTAAAATTTAAATGAACTACTAGAAAAAGTAGTAGTTTCAATGTCCCTAATTAATGTCAGTTTATCTCTCAGTTGTCAGTTTATTTCAAAGGAACCACAACAAATAATTAAAGTCGATTTACAAAAAAATATGTAAAAAATATATAAACTAGACCTATATGTATGTACATATTATATTTGTGGTGAGTATAGTTTAAACATATAAAGTACATTATTTAATTAGATAATTTTATCATTACACTTTGGCCATTTAAACCTAAAAATCCGGAAATGCCCCCTTCTGGTAATTTATACTGTATGTCATGAAGTTTTCGATCTGGCGAAAATTCTAACAATTGACTATTACTGTGTGCCAATGTTTTTAATTTCCAAACGGCTACATTTCTAGCTTTCCCATGTCTGGCGAGAACATAAAAGTCATCTTTAGTTAAAATTCCACCAGAAATTACAGCCCAATGGGCTTTATGTCCTTTACATAATCCAGGAGAATTATCTTTCTCTGTATCATAACTGTTTTTGTGTTAAGGTAATTACAAGTTTGAACAAATTAAATCATTAAATACTGCAAAGGATACGGTACTAACATAATTCCCCCATTAAGTAGAAATGTTTGTATAAAATCACTATCTAAAGAACCATTATGAACTTCTATTTCAGTTTCACTGGGCAAATGTTCTTTAGCTAAATCTGCCATTTCCCTAACACTAAACATTTCACCATTATATGTAAAACTATGATTTTTTGCAGACACATATAATTTCTCAACACTTTCTTTAGTAGGATTTCCTATACACATTGCTAGTGCTATTAATCCACATTGAGGCCCATCCTGTAGAAATTGTTGCAACATTTTGTACTTAAATTTTATTGGGTTTACTAATTCGGTCATTTGAAATAATGTGCATATTTTATGAAGGTCCGGATATGATTGGGCCCAACTAAAATCCATATTTTTCTTTTAAGATTATATTATAAATATGTATTTTTTTAGGTTAGAAGTGACGTCATCAGTTGATCATTTGAACTACTTACTGATCTTTAACATAGCATGTATTAGAACTTAAATATGAGTAAAATTAAAAAATGTATAGGTCGGGAAGGCTTTCAAAGAATAAATTATCTTTATCAGGTAAATTTTTATTGTTAAAAAACTTTTTAATTTCATATAATATGCCTTTTCACGATGATGTGCAGAATTACTTGCTATAAGGAAAATTAAGAACTGTAAAGTGGCTCCCACACACCTAACATCTTCTGTGAACTCGCCTTTGAAGAAATACATAAGTAGGGATGTTGCGATACCAGTAAAGTATCAATACTGGTCATAGGGTATCTAACATAATATACCATAGGGTAAATCTACAATTCACCTTTTCTATGTATTGTAATGTCAAAACTAGTAAAATATTGAAATGAAAGTAGTAGTATTGAAACAAAAGCAGTATCAATATGGGTAAAGTATCAAGTACTAAATTACCCAGTATTGAAAGAAAAGTATCGATACCAGTAGTATCGCAATATCCCTATACATAAGACCTTCGATTGGTAGACATGTGTAAAAATCTTGTTACACTTCAAAACGAATTATGGATTTTCTAAGATTAAGGGTTTAATTAGTATTGTCATATTTGGCCTAAACAAACCACTGCCTTTTATTGGTTGTAAATCACTTTAAATTGGATAGAAAATAATCTAAAAATTTTAAAACCTAGAGATAGTTAATTTGGGATGTTTTTATGATCTTATAAAGAACTGAAAATAATGTAATGCCTATTTTGAAGATACTGATATAGCTAATTTGGTCTGCAACATATAAAGATAAATTGCAGCCAGCCATTTATACAATACTAATAATTATTTTATAATTTTAGCTTTCAAACTTATTTGTAACTGAAAATCCTGTTAATCATGTTGCAGCATCCATGTATTCCAATCTTCTTGTTAATATATCAAGAAAGACTGTCCAAAGAATGTTGGTAACTACAAAATATTTATTAAATTATTTTTATTATACCTTTCTTTTAGGGAGATTGACATGAAAAGAACAATATGTAAATCATGTAGATGTCTTTTACTTGCTGGAATAACATGTAAAGTTAGAGTTAAGAAGAAAAAAGTTATTTGGACTTGTTTAAAATGCAGACACTCTAAAGTCTATGAAACAAAGGATAAAAACTACAAGTGCTGGACTCAAAAGGATGAAAGTTTGGTAGACGTTTTTGATTATTCTGTTAATTATACTACAGATAAAAATAAAAAAAAATAATTTAGAAAATGTTTTAATAATTTAAAAAGTTTCTTTTTTTATTAAAGAATCAGGACACCGTTCCTAGAAAAATTATTTAGTATTAAAACTTAAGGTAGTCTACAATATTAAAACAGGCGAAAAATACAAAATACAGCATAAATAAGATGAATATAAAATTAAATTCATATAAATATTTGCTCATTAGCTAAACTATCAGTAAATGGACTAACAATTTCTTTGGTAGCGAAGTAAAATATGAGTCCAAATGTTATGGAAATTGGTAATGCAGGTAAAGCTTTCTTGAAAATTGCTAAGAGCAATAGGGTTAAGCACAATCCCTAAAAAAGATACAGAATATGACATTGCATTTTTATGCACTGAAATATATACTTACTATTAAGATAGCTACAAAACAAGCTAATGTAGTGTTCCAGTCTCCATAAGAAGATGCTTTCCCTACTAAAACACTGTAGAATATAAAATCTCCCAAACCTAGTTTGACACCACCTAAAAAAATGTCGATGAATATTATTTATTTAACATATTTACTTAAAGCATTATTTACGTTCTTCTTCTTCCTGATGAACCTGTGTGCGTGGTTGACTATTAGGATCATTATGAACTTCTATTTGTCTTTGAGCTACTCTATTAGCGTGATTATTAACCCAGTCTTGAGTAAATCCATGATCTACACTATTGGTTCTAGAAACATTCGGAACATCTTCTCCAGTGGCCATACTTGTGTAAGCATACATATACGTTGCTAAAACAATAACAAACATTTGTGAATACAGATCTTTGTGATTTCTGCTGAAAAAGTAACATATCTTATGATTTATAGGAATATAACGTGAATCCATTAATTGGCTGCAGAAAAATATCTACATTTTTTACAAAAACTATGCCTGTAGGTTGGAGATAAACTGCACTCTGTTGACATAGTGCAGTTTTATAAAAGGTATATTTTTAAACTCTGCTCATTGATACTTTTCCAGGGATATATTACACCATGTATTAGTGAGGTCACAATAAAAGTTAGCCAAAAAAATATAATGCTATGTTTAATAAACTTATGGGGTAAACGACGTTATCTGCACATAGTGCTTTTAACCCATGTTAAATTCTCTAAAAGATTAAATCAGAACATAGACATGAAAACCAACAATTTATGCAAATTAAAAGAGGAAGTTTTAGTAGTAAACAATACATAAATATTGTGACAAAAATTGGGTATCTAACTGCATTTCTTGTCAAATATAATATGTAATTATGGAGCCCAAAATGTGTACAACACTCAATCTGCTCTACTGAACAGTTTACTAGAATGACATTGTGCATTTTACCTCTGAGGTACATCTATATCTTAAACAATTTTAATGACATGTTCTCACCTTACATTTTAGAGCCTTAAATTAGTTTTTACTACTGATCTTTAAACATGGCCTAAATAAAACTGTTTTATACTGAAACATATTTAGTGATTCTTTCCAGGCATTGCCAAATTAAAGGAGATCTTAGGAAACTTAAATTAGTGGACGAAAATAAGTGCAGATTCTGTGAGGAGGAGGATGAAATATTCATTCAAATTTTTGGCAAATGTCTACAGAAACCATTACACTATACCTAGAACAAGATAGAAGATAGAGATCCATCATCCAACTTAAATTCACTGAAATAGAACAATAGATTGCACTATACCTAGAACAAGATAGAAGATAGAGATCCACCCAACTTAAATTCACTGAAAGAGAACAATAGATCTCTTGGACCTTAGTGCACTAACACCCAATACACATATATACTGATGATGGTCAAAAACAAATTATTACAGTAACATTACTCTTGATAACAATTACAGCAGTTGTTAAAATATAGTACAAAATATTAAAGTTCTTAGCCTTTACAAAGAATACACATTAGTAAAAAAAATATATGAAATTAAAAAGTTATGTGGCAAATACTTATTCATCTGATATCATCCATACACTAAAAAAAAATTCCTGAATAAAAAAATATGAACTTACATGAATAAATTAATGCAGGGAATATTTGCTCGTTCCTTTCCTGAGCAGTCTCAACAAGGATCCTAAGAGGACCTTTTGGCATTAATACTGCAATTAAATCTAAAAAACAAAAAAAATATAGATATATTTATTTGTAAAAATGTTTAAAAATATTACCCCAAACTGATATAACAGCTAATACAGCCCATGTTGTCCACTCTGGTAAGTATTTGATAAAAACTAAGGCCATAAGAGCAGCAACAAAAATTAAATAAGCTTGCTGCAAAATCAAAGGCCCTTGCCAATGGATAACTATCATGCCCATGACTCCAAAGTTCCACATAATTAATAGCAAAGTTGGGTAGTCCATTGGAATGTTATAGGCTCTTAAAATTTCTCTAAAATGAAATGTTTTTATAGGCATTATTTGACTTTAATTTGTCTGTCTCATAACTTACTCCAAATATAAATAGGAAAAAATTGAAAGCAACATTAATGATGATACAATTAACCAGGCATGTATTGTTTTGTAGCATCTATACTTGTAAAGGACGATCAGAAGCACAGTCATCATAACTATAACAGCCATCAAAATCATAGCATTGGCAGCTGCATTCCATGCTTTTGTGCTAGAATCTGAACTTTCTTCATGGAATGGAGTATATACTCTAAGAAAAAACTAATTTAGTAAAGTCCAGAAAATAAGAATTTAGGTGAAATGAAAGAATATCAAATACCTTTAAATACAGTACTTATTTTGGTACTTTGTCAAAAAATTAATAGTGATTACAATTTACCTCAAACTGATCAGGAACATTTGTTTTTCACAATGACAAAATATTTTGCTCTATTTTTAATTCTCAACACAAGGCTTTTTTGATAAGGATACAGTAAATAAATTAGCAAAATATACAAAAAATAAATAGACCAATGTATATATATATATATAAGAATAATTTAACTTTAACTATGCTGCAAGTAGGTATGTCAACAATATATGTAATAATGTGGTAAAGTCCAATTTCAATACCTATGAAGGAAACCACATGTTAACCATTATTTAGAATTTTAAATATATATTATCTATAACTATAATTAAATAAATAATAAGTTGTTTGGTTTAAAAGAATAATTCCCATATTCCTATAATATTAACACAACTAAACCCCCAGTAGGTGGCAATCACCATTGCATTACTCTGCCAAGTGATGATGTACATAGTTGTGTTCTTATTGTAATTGGACCCTACATCTGCCTTAAATATTTAGGCAACTAAAAGTACAGCTCTTATTTTTGACTTTTCATAGTCTCTCAATAATCTTCATTCACAATAAATGCATATTTTTCAATGTTAATTTAACTACTTACTCAGAGCTAAGGTTTTCACCTCTGAGTAAAGTTACATGTATGGTTACTTGTCAGATTAGCGAACTATAATCTATAGCTGAATCAGCAAGTAGATAATTTCAATTTTACTAAGAGTTGAAAAGACTGCTGGTCCAAAATATATTTAACTGGACTCTTTATCAGTTGTATTAAATAATCTATAAAGTTTTATTATTAATTAAAGTAGTCTAAATATCTTGATTTTATGAAGTAGGTATAATGATTCTCCTAATCTTAAAAAAGGTTTTCGCTTTACTTCAGCAATACTATTACTTTTTTAATGTTAAATATAATTTTAACAAAGGAAATTTAAGATAAATTGGACTCCGATATACTCATATACCTACTAAAAAAAAGAATGATTTAGAGTAGAATTTTGTAAAATTCACTTACAAGTACATGTCTTTAATTGAATAGAAATTAACTGCACTAATGGTAGCAACTACAACAACCATGCAAAGAGACACAGGGGCAAACAATTTAATAACATGTTTAGCTCCATATTTCAATTCCTCTTCTTCATCTTGGGGCGGAATAGGTCGGGGAACATAATCCCCTTGAGCCTGTTCAGGTACATTTTCACGTTCCGGAGTTCTTTGCTCTAAATTTTCTGACTGTCTATTTCGTTTTCTTGAGACTTCTTGATTTTGTCTCAAATCCGTAGATGAATTTCCACTGTTTGTAGCAACATGGCCGTCCATAAGTCTGGTTGTCTCGGATACGGCCTCAAAGTTGCTTTCAAAATGATCTGAGTTCGACATACACGAATTTCCTTTTTAGATTTTTAAGTGGGGTTTAATTCTTAGATTAAAGAAACCGGTTTCTTTAATCTAAGGTTTAATTAGTCAACAACAAAAATGAATCATTTTTTTTGTATAAAAATTTGACATACTAGCTGGGCAACAGTGTTACCAGAGCACTCTGAAGGAATGTAATAGATGAACTACCAAAATTGTAATAAATTTCAAGAAAATGTAATAGAAATTATAATGAACCTAAAATGAACTATACATAAAAAATAGATTCATTTTATTGATATTGATAATTAATGTTTTATGTTTTTAATAACTTATTTATTGATAAGAACAACGACAGTCTTTCAATTATTGTCATAATGCAGCACGAGGATATTTTTGTTCCACATTCTTATAATTTTAATTTTGTTGCAACAGCAGACTCGTTCTGAATTTATCTGCACATGAATAGTACCTGTAGCTGTAGTACGATTTAACTGTTCTACCCTTCGTACTACTCATGCGCAGATAAATTCAGAACGCTTCTATACTGGGGTTGAAACAAACCTTTTATTAAGAAAATGAAGGAAAAACAAATTCGGCCTCCAATGAAAGGTCCAATGATATAAGAAACTTTTTAAGCGCTATGGGCATGCTCAAGAAAATATGTTTGGGATGAACCTAATCAAAGAAACATATTTGGGATGGGATTGGGTGTATAAAATAATAAACCAATAAAATAAAGACTCGGTGGTTAGGTTCATGTTAGGTTCAAGTTCATCAATTGTTCGAGGCTCGTGAAAATGTAATAGATTTATTGGACATGTAATAATGTAATAAATCCTTCATAAATGTAATAGATTTGTTACAATTGTAACAAACTGGCAACACTGCTGGGCAATGTCAAAAAGTTGTCAAATATGATAGCTGTCAATTGAAGCATCGATGTCAGATTGCCAATTACTAGTCCCTTTTTATTAGAGGCTGCATAGAAACAATCTAATATGATTCAATTAATATATTTTAATTACTGTTTTCGATTTTTTTAAAGAAAATGAAATTTACTAAATGGAAAATGTTTATGATTGAGTCTTTAGTAATTATTAATTTGGCAACATCGATATGTTCATTTGATGTATTCCGGGAATACCTTTGTTGTTCGTCTCTTTTTAACAAACGTAATACTAGATTTATCTATCCTTGTTTTTATGACATTTCTTCAAATGTATGTATATCAGACAAAATCAGGAACAGACCAGCATTTTGATGATTTTTGACGGATAGTAAATTTTCTCAAGGTGTTTTCAGTTTTTTCTTAATTTTTTTGAGTTTAGGATTGCTAAAGATTTGCTGTTGGACATGGTTGATAAATTAGGTAATTTGCTATATTATTAATTACACTTTCTATAAAGTAGATACCATGTAGAAATTAGGAAGTATTGTTCAATTTATAGGAAGTCCTACATAAATAGTTCACCTTATATGGTTATTTAATTTATTGCTGACTGAATGGTTTATGCTCTGGTTATTGTTTTACGGTCTGCTTTTGTAAAGTAACGTCTTTTTTACAATTACAATAATGAGAAAGGCTCTTCCTGATCAAATTGAGATGAATCATCAGTGTTACTTGTGAAAAACAATACTCCCATTTTGAGTATACAAGGACTAATATTTATTCATTATTATGTCTATTGCAGTTAATAGTGAAGCTAATGCTCGAAGAATAGCGATGGTGGAGAGCTGCTTTGGTAGCTCTGGTCAGGTATGTTAGTTGATATCTTACTACATTTTTCAATATATATGTTCCAATTTTTAGCCTTTAGGAGTCCCTGGTAGAGTGTTAGTTGGTGAAGGTGTTTTAACAAAAATGTGTCGAAAAAAACCAAAAACCAGGCAATTTTTCCTATTTAATGATATATTGGTTTATGGAAACATTATTATTAATAAAAAGAAATACAACAAACAACATATCATTCCCTTAGAAGAAGTTAAATTAGAAAGTCTAGAAGACGATTCACGTAAGTAATTATACAGAAAACAATTACCTAATACACAAGTGCAGTCAGTGACAGCCAGAAAGTTTTCATGGGAGGGGTTTTTGAGAACTTTGGGGGGGGGTTCCTTCAACAAAGTGAAATATTTCAGACGTTTTATTAAAAAAAAGTACACAAAAATAAATATTTTTTTATAAAACAATAAAAAATTAATAAATCCCAACAGCACCAATATGATGGCTGAAACAGTGACTCGAAGGCACACCATGGGGGAGTTCTGACCCTCAAACCCCCGTGGCTTCGCCACTGAGTGCAGTCTAGCTGGCATTTAAGCTGTTGCAAAGGACATCTAAAACTTTGCTTAAAAATAATAAGGCTAAGAAAACCAAAAATAAAGTAGCACAAATTAAAGGAAAATAAAGAAAAGGCCTCATATTTGCAATTAAAAATTCACTAAATGAAAAAATGGCCTATTTAAATATACATTTGATACAAAAATATAGATCTAATGTACAGCTTTTTGAGATCATGGAAAAAGAACATTTTACCATCCTTTTTTTTTAATTTAATGTAAAATATAAAAATATCCAAAAATATTTTTACATTTTCAATAAAATATATTCCTTTCTGGAACAAGGTTGGGCCTTCTTTTCTATTTATGTTAGCTCAAAATATATGTATACTATATCTCTTTGTGGCATGGGGAGAGGAAGAATAAATCATATATTGGTTCTATCAGTTGAAAAATTATAAATTAATAAAGTTATCAACTACTTTAAAATAGTAGCTGATTGATGAACTTAGATATAGGTAGTCAGTTAGCCCATGCCTGATGCACAATAAGTCTAATGAGATATAAGTGTAGTGATCTGACTTTGTCGGACTACAAACACATATTTTACTGAAATATACACATTTTTATCAACAAGCAGTCTGATGTATTAATTAGACTATCTAAAGAGTTGTAGATAAAACTTCAACCAAGAGATGTGTAAAATGATATTAAACTAAATTTTTAAAACAAAATATTCCTAAGATTTGATCTAATTATTATCTACTTTTCTATTTAACATTAAAACTTCCATGTTGCCAACATATATGTAGGTATAGGTAAATTATTAAATAAAGATTTGTCATCCACAGTCTGTCTTTTGCTGTTCTCCTACAGTCTCTATTATAATTACTTTTTGGGTAAATTGACACTTCCTGTAGCAATTGAATCGGTCATTTCAAAAACCTCACAAGTCAATATTTAACAAAATTAGGTTTATGTCACAAAAAGTCTTGTCAGGAACCTTCCATTATGTGAAAAAATTACACAAGTCGCATTAACCATTAGATAAATCTTTTTAAATGTTTGCATTCGATACAAATATGATGACTTATGTGGTTTTTGCAAGGAAATTTAATAAGAGTTGGTTTTTTGGGATGGCATTTTAATTTATTTTATTAGCTTGTTATTCAAGTTTAACCCATCTTTGACCGGTGATGTGTTTATGCAACACCTTAAATTATATTTTTTTTAAAGTATCTATATTATATATTTATGAGAAGATCTATTTTTTTTTAAATCCATTAACAATACCAGCAAATTAAAAAAACGTTAAAATTTTGAATTTTTTTCATATTTTTATAAAATATTTTTTTCGTAAAAATGATCTAAATTTACGTTGTTGGACAAGCAATTTTTAAATAAACATAGCCATATATTTTAAACAAATTTAAAATATTTTCTTCTATTCCTTAATAAAATGATAAAACTAAAGGCTTTCATACAAATTTTCAAATTATAATAAACATTATAGCTATATAATAATATATACATTTTCAAGTACAGGCTTGCATACATTTTATTCAACTATCCTAATTTATCATTGGAAATAAAATATTTCCTGTACTTTAATGATTGGTGTACCGACAGAAAGAATGAGATGCTGAGAGGGACAAATTTTATAACTTTACCCACCTCTTAGGTTCACGTACTATCATACATTTCCTGAAAAAAACAACTAACAAATATGTAATATAATAGACAAAAAAAGGTTGTCAAGTACCACAATCAAATGTGGCTAAGTAACAATGGAGTAGCCAATTATAGAATAAAGATAAAAGGAAGATAAATGGTAATGGCCCTTATTTAGAAACACAATCGACAACATTATAAAAAATTCATGGAAAATTTATAACATTACACATGTTAAAAAATGTAGCAGCTAGAATTTAGATCATACATTGTTTTCTGCTTACTAAAAGTGGAAATACTGCAAAGAAAAAATTAGTAAATCCGTTATATAAACTACCATGTGAAATCCCACAAGATAAACACGGTAGCCATATCTTACAGAGGACGGAAATATGAAGATGTCGATGTCATAGCTAGACATTTTATACATGCAAAAAATGTTACCTTCATGTTGGCTGCTTCCAAATGTATCATAAGTAGTTCATAGCATTGACTAGTGATGCGTTTACGCGACACACTATTTTTTGTAAAGTATATGTTTAAAAAATTTTTAAATTTTTTTATTCTAAAGAAAGTATTTTCATAAAAGTTTTATAAAAATTTAATTATTATTTTATTTCTTTTATGGGTTGGTTATTAATGGGTTAATGTTACCTTCTCCTCGCATTTTTAAATAATTTTTATTAAAAGGATTTATCTAAGTATGTAGATTTATTTCCTTTCAAAACAAATCAAAAAATTGTTCCGTTTAAAAACTACATAAGTGGATAACAAAAAATATTTATTTTTTCTTTAACTTGCGTTTATAAGATCTTATATTCTATTCATATAATCTAGTTATATATACCTTATTTAACAAAATAATGAAATCTATAAAAAAGCTTTTTGTGTCTACCGATTGAAAATTTAATTTTTTGATTTGTGTTGTTTTTTAAATGACAGATTCAGTTATATTCTACATTGTAAATATTTATTTATCGTAGTATTTAAGTACTTTTTGTTTTGAAAAGATTTATAGAGTAAAATATTGAAAATGAATTTTACTTATATCATTTGATTAGGACTGAACAGGAAGTACTGATAAATAATTATCACTGGCAATGCTTTGCAAAATGAATTGTGATTCATATTAAATCTAAGAATTGAAATAATCAGATTAAAAGTAATTAAGTTATAATTTGTACTAAATTAGGGAAATTTTTAAAATATTGTTTGAAACTATTGAAATATAATTATTCACAAGACAATACGATAACACATTAATTATGATTCATAGCTTAATTCTAGGAATTATAATAATCTATACACTTGTCAATAATCAACAGATAAAACTTAATTAAATAAATAAAAATACACCTTCTTAATTTGAAAAATAAAATTTTCTTAACCCTAGATCGGTATCGTTTAATTTCTACCGCTTGTTGGTATGGACACGTAAAATTTATGCATTCGCAAATTTTTACATGTACATTTTGTAAAATTACCTGTTTCATTAGTTTTTTTGTATCGGAACATAAAATAGTGTTTTTAACATATTTTAATAACAAAACAATATTTTAAAATGAAAAAACTACAGTAACTGAATTTAAAAATAAAGAGAACATTTTTTTATTTGATTTTTTTGTAACACATGCATATTTTTATTTGGTATTCCCCACATACTGTTTTGGTACATTTTACGCAGTACGTAGTTGCCATTCTTTCCTTTAATGTAGGACAAAGGTGGCAAAGTTCCCTTTTTGATCCCCTCCCCTTTGATATTTGTACTGGGCAAAAAGGTTTCTTTAATATCTATTGCACTTACTGTACTTAGGTATCCTATTTGTTGATGTTGTGATTGCCATAATTTAATAAGACTTTTGTGAAGTACTCAAAATGTGTTAAAGTTTTACCACCTAATGCTTCAACATTGTGTGACTAAATTATGTATGAATTGATGCAAGCCATTTTTATCATCTTGTAAAAGACACATAGGGCCATTTGCAGCGACAGTTGTTAAGAAATAAGCGAAGCCTAAAATTTTAGGATAAATAACTGCTTATTGGTATCGATGCGTATTTCTTACGTGTATACTTTTCAAAATCAAGCCACATCTTCTTTTGCTAAATAGTTGCAACTCTGACACCTACAAATCTTCAGAAGTGGATGTTTCCTGAGGCACTGCTGAAAGCTCAAGATGGCGACTCAAAAGAATTATTGGAGAGGGCCCTTTCGCTACAAACCACACGTAAATTTTACGTACGATACCGCTCTAGGGTTAATAAAGAATTATCTAGTTGTTTAGATATTAGATTAAAAAGTTTAATGTATATCTATTTTATTTTTATAAATAAAGTAGATTTGTTTTTATGAGCTATAGCTTCAATTATTTTTAGTTTTTTAGTTACACTGTAATTTTGGTAAAATATAACTTTTGTTTTTTCATAATTAATTTCTTTTTTAGAGTACAAAAATGGTTGGTTAATAAGAACTGCCTCTAAATCATTTGCTGTATATGCTGCCACAGCAGTAGAAAAGGGAGAATGGATGGCACACATAAATAAATGCATTGATGATTTATTAAGAAAAAGTAAGCATGTTTAATTTTATTATAATGACAATATAAATGAAAATATATTTTTTAGGTGGGAAAAAAGCTGTGGCAGTTCATGCGGCTGTTTGGGTGCCTGATGGGGAAGCACCTGTATGTATGCATTGCAATAAATCTCAATTTACACTAATAAATAGAAGGGTAAGTGTTATTTATATTGTAGAACTAAAATTTAATAAAGGGAAAGACAAATAAAAGCAGTAGTGGCGTTAGGGGAGGGGAGGTGGCGAAGGGGGCGCAAAAGTCAGTGGACATATTTTTTAAACCAATGATTTATACCATTACAAAGTGTTTTCAAATAATTGTGCTTAAACAAATATTAATGAAAATACAATAAATATAATTACATGTTATTAAATTGGTAATATAAAACATTTAATTACAATTATTTAATTATTAAAAAAACGGGCGGCAGATGCCACTTTCTAGCTATGTCATTGATTCAAAAAAGTATTAATTTAATTTGTATAATTAAGAAATAAACAATAAAAAAAAACAATTTTGTCAAAATAATAAAAAAATGCAATAATTTTACAAACAAAATTTTGTCATTTCAATTCATTTCTTTTTTAATGTAGCACCATTGCCGTAAATGTGGAGCAGTAGTATGTGGACCTTGCTCAAATAAGCGTTTTCTACTACCGAATCAAAGTTCAAAACCCCTTAGAGTTTGCCTTCATTGTTATGATGTCTTGACTACAACGAAGAATCACAATTCTAATGATTCCTCAATAAGAGGTAAGTCTTAAATTATCAACAGGTTGATTTCCTAAACTGATATAAAAGTTTGATTTACTCGAAACAAGAAAGAACAATCCAATGCTAAAATATAAATTTTACTTTCAAGGAACAAATGCAGAATCATCAGGAGAAGAAGATTCTGATGATGATGAAGATGAGAAAAATAAGGGACAACCCGAAGCTCATGATCTGGTAATTATTTCTTTTTAATTATGTACTCTACTGGAAAGTTTGCTGTTAAAATTATTACTTGAAAAATATTTTTCATATTTGAATAATAAACATTCATGCAATCTTTTATCAGTAAATTAAGCAGATGTTCTGTTTTTTTATTTATTTATTTTTAACTTACATTACTGTTTTCATTAATTTTATTAAGGTAATATAAAGCCAGTTCTTCTAAAATTAAATATAAATTAATTCATTTGATTTTTATAAGAATTATTGTTTTTCTTTTGACAGTTTCGGAGTCACTGCTTGGGCTATTATTCATGTTAATTTTTTTACCCAAAAATTTGTAAGTTATTTGTGATGCACTTAATAGACTGAAGCTGTTCAAATCAAAATGATTTAATAGTGAGTGCAAGTTTCATTTTTAACGATTTTTATTATCTTAAGCCAAACTAATATCTAGGCTAATATAGAGTAGAATAAATATAATTGATCATAAAATTAAATTCATTTAGAAGTGACTTTTTTAGCGAATATTTTAAAAACAATTAACCTTAATTGCTTATTTTCTTTAATAAATATTAACATTGGTCTGAAGTTTTAATAACATATGTTTAATTAGTTATACTAATCTCAAAATAATTATGTATGAGTGAACAACATATTTAATTGTGTTTTTTTTATTGTTATTGTTACGCTATCATTATAAAGATTATATTACTTAAAAAATAACTGTTTAATCACGAATATTTCCAAATTCATAAAACATGCAATATTGTCATACAATGAAAAAATGCGGATTTACGGCAATCTTCAAATCTGAACATAATTTCAATAAAAATATTAAGTCTAATATTAAATATCGTCCACAACTGTTCATTACTTATTATTTATTACAAATTAAAATTATGAATAATAATAATAATAATAATAATAATTAATCCCTCAACAGACCGTGACAAATGAAAACTTATAATTCTTTAGTTTTTACCTTCCATCTCTCTAAAATATAATTTCTGGAGATTCAAGATTTCTTTGTACCCACTGGGATGGCAAGGCAGTATTAAAAACAAATTGTTAAATCCATACACTGCGAAATGTGTTAAGTCTGATTTAAAAAAAAATTGTCAGTAGCATGTCGAAAATCGATTAAACATCAACTAGTTTATGAAAGACTTATTGAAAATTAGCATTTTACATTTAATTAGAAAGTAATATAGTTGCCAGCTTCTTTGCCTGATTATGAATAAATTAGGCATTCCAACGACCTGTCAAACAGCTGCCTGTGGGCATTGATATGACAACCCTGTGGGCCTGGTGGCTTTGACAGGATCAATGATATATTTAGTTATGTAGATTGCTTAAGGCGGGTCGCATTGCGAGCGGCCATATTGCCTCGCAAGTGCTCACTAATCAGAATCTGCTTAGCCACCCTTAAGAAAAATGAAAGGGATTTAAGATTAGTTCATTCTTGTTTATTTGTATTACTTATGAGTATTCTGTGGTTGTGATCTTCATGAGAGTATTTTGATGTTTTTAAAACATTTCTACTGCTTAAAGCCACGATTTCTTCACTTTCATGTCTCTGGGAACAAATATAAATGTTTTTTTGTAAACATTGGTAGAATTTGAGTAATTCCGAACAAAGTACTTTCTCTTCATTATAATATTTTATCCCGCATACCGGGTGATAAGAACACCAGGGCCACGTTAATTTCTTTAATTTATTCAGTGATTTGGATCAAATTTATAACAAACAATTTCGGATACTTCTTAAACAAAATGGCCGACTTGTTTTTACCGAAAACGCCATTAAGTTTAATTTTTTAATTTTTTTTTGCCAAATTTTCATTTTTCCTAAACATTTTTTTTTATGTTGAAAGCCATGAACTAGAAAATAATGTTCTAAGAAGTACATGGCATCTTGTCAAATTGGTAATAAAATTTGAAATCGCGAAATGGCCCTCAAGTTCCATTACAAAAAAAGTGAGATTTTAGAAATTTATATTTTAATTGAATTATTTATTTTTAACTCAATTGGTAAAATAGCTTTTGTTTGGCGTTGTTCGAGTGTATTAGAATATTATTTTTCGTTTCATGGCCTTCTATCTAAAAAAAAATAAGAAAAAAAATTAAATTTAACAACGCTGTCATATGAACTTTTAACCATAGGTTCCAAAAAAAAAAAACATTAAATATACCATTTAAAAAATCAAACTTAATGACATTTCCGGTAAAATCGGAAGTCGGTCATTTTGTTTAAGTGTCAGTGTCGATTCGAAATTATGTCTAGTAGGTTTGACCCTAATTGCTTCATAAATAAAAGATATATTAACGTGTCTTGGTATCATTGTCACCCGATAGATTAGATTTAGTTAGGACTGTGGGCCATGTGGCCTCCTCCACCTCGAGTTTTTCAGATCGGTGGATATCCTTTAATCGTTGTTTAGAGTACCTTGTCTAGTTTGGTCTTTTGTAGTAGACGCCATAGACTAGGAAGTAGTTCTTCAGCGTAACTAGTTGCCTTTGGTTTTTTCTTCTCCAAGTGTAAGGAATTTCAGTCTTGACAGACCTTCACAGAAGCAGGAAACGAGTACTGCAGTTTCCTCTTCTTTCTAGCAGAATCGACACAAGATCTCTTCTGCTAGACCGATTTCATATGTTTATTAAGCCTACAATGCCTTGTTAATAGGCCCACTAGTAATCTAGTATTTTTCCTATTGTGGCTTAGTAGATGCTCGGTGAGTTTTGGCTATGGTCCTTTTAAGAACTCTTTGTCCTGTATCTGCCCTGGTGAATTTTTCCACCATTGTTGACAATTTTTAAATATCCACTGCTTAGTGCATGTTCTATTAGCTGTCTTTGTGACACCACAAAAGGGTTCTGGGCCAATAAGGGCCTTTGAGGCTCCTTCTTGGGCTAGTAAATTAGCTTCTTTATTGTCCTTATGTCTCCGTAGCCTGGTACCCAGGCTAATCTGTTTAACTATCCAGCTCTGTTAGGGCTTCCAAACAGTCCCACACAAGCTTTGAGTATACCTGCATGGAACTCAGTGGTTTTACCTTCGCTTGACTGAATATATGACATTGGTTTTCCATTTATCTTGTGTCTTAATTTCTACCTGGAATACTGTCACATGTTGACCTAAGCTCAGTGAGATTCTTTTCTTTGGCTTGGTATTATATATACGAGCCCTAACAACTATATGTTCGGACGATGTAAGAAAATCAACATAACAAAGTAACGAAATTTGATCAAATTTGCCGACAAATAAATATTTGGACAAACTTGAATTTTATAGCTTAAATCGAACTTTAATAAGAGGTAACATCACCTTTTGCGGTAATAACGGCTTGAATGCGTTGTGGCATGGAATCTACTAAAATCTTACAATATTCGGGGGTGAAAGAGTTCCAAATTTGTGAATTTTTTTCCTTTAATGCGGAAATGGTACGCTGAGGATCGTTACGCAAAGACTTCTTCATCTGATGCCATAATGTTTCAATGACGTTCAAGTCGGGACTATTCGAAGGCCACGATAAAACTTTTATATTACGCTTTAAGCAGTCTTTATCAAAAGCTTTGGATTTTGGATTACCCTTTTTCAAAAATCCCCAATGTATACATCAAATTTCGATTCATCGCTGAAGGTGACATTACTCCACATTTCCGTTGTCCAGGATATTTTGGATTTTGACCAATTCAAACGTTTTTTCATTTGAATAGCTGTCAGTAAGGGCTTTTCCTTCGCCTATAAGGAATGTGTGTAACAGAACATTATTAATTTTTGTGTATTAAAACGAAAAATTACAAACTTACTTTATAAAAACTGTAACCAGACTTAAGCAACCATTGTCTACAACATTCCCTAGAGACATTTAATTTTTCCTCATGATTCCATTGGGCTTGTATTTGTCGTAGAGTTGCCCTTCTGTTGGTTTTGCAAATCTTTACCAGAACACGGCGTTTTCTTTCTTTGAGCGCGGCGACCGAATCAAAAAATTCCGTAACGCGTAACGAAAAAAAACCTAACACCCCCCACTCCGACCGGCACAGCGGTGCGGCGTTAAACAATATTAACTTCTCATTTATTCAATAAACGAAAATCAAAAAATCGAAAACAATCGAAAAAATCGAAAAAGAAATTCCGTAACGAAAATAAGCCTAACACCCCCACTCCGACCGGCACAGCGGTGCGGCGTTGATAGCCGTGCATCGTCTAACGTCGTTTCAGTTCGGCAAACTTCGGCACGGTGTTTGTGTGCGTGCGACTAGACGTATGCGTGTAGACTAGCTGATAACTGATTCTATCTCTTTTAGACACAATTTCGGAAAAATTGAATTTGAAAATGAATAATGATCCACAAGAATCCACAACAAGACACAACAAGAACTAATATCAAAGAAAAAAAATACTGCATAAATAAAATAAATAAATAATTATAATTGCATAAGTTGATAAAAAATGCTATGCAATACCTTTACCGCGGCAGTCCCCGAGTGCCACCCGTATTTTAAATTTGTTTACGTCGTCCGAACAATTAGTTGTTAGGGCTCGTACATACTCTTGAACCGACATGTGTTATGAAGCTGTATGTATCCCGGGTTAATTCTCCGGGACTAGAAGGTCCTCCCGTCCACGCTTCCCTGTCTGCCATACTTACTTTGTCACTAGGTATAAAAACTTACAATACCCTGACTAGTAAAGCTACGGTTTGTAGAACAGTGCGCGACGCAAAAAATATGAATTTGGTTCATGAGTAAAGATTTTTTGTTGAAATCCAACCATATGTTTCTGGGTGTTGGTTTTGATTTTTCACATTTGCTGACAAATAATGATTTTAAACAAGTTTTTTCAAGTAACATTTGTCTCTGTTTATTTACTTCCCTCGTATATGGTACAGTTTTTAACATTTATGAAGTTTGTACTGGGTTTTAGGTCATAACTTATCTTTTAACAAGAATAAAGTTTTCAGAGAAATTTACAATAAAAAAAGTTTTCTGCGAGGATGGTCTGAAAAGTTTCCGACCTAGCAAAGATACAATACATTTTTTCTTTAAAATTTATTTTTATTTTTCTACATAGTCTCCTTGTAAGTCTACACTTCTCCCATCTCTTTAACCCGCCCAAATAGTAATCGGCGTCTTTCTCTGCAAAATAATTGTTTTCGAAGGTGATGGCCTCCTCATTTCACGTAAATCTCTCTCCTAGGGAATAAAAAGAAGTCGCTTGGGGCTAAATCTGGTGAGTAAGGAGGGTGGCCAAGCAGTTTAAACTAATTCGTGAATTTTCGCCATGGCAACCGCTGAGGTGTGAGACGGCGCATTGACTTGGTGAAACAGAATTTTTGTTTTCTGCAAATGTGACTTGTTTTTCCGTAATTTCTGCCTTCAGCTTTCAAGTAATGATGTTTTTCATTTTTGAAGATAATCGATTAAGATAACTCCACGACTATTCCAAAAAGACAGTCGTCATCTTTTTCCCAGCCTAACAAACTGTTTTTGCTTTTTTGGAGCCGATTCCCCCTTCGCTGTCCACTGTTTTGACATTATTTTTGTTTTGGGGGTATAATGGTGTATCATGGTGTTTCATTTACAGTAAATAATCGCTGCCAAAATTCTGATGTTTGTCCGAACACGTTTTTGGTCTAACGTGAGCAAACTCGGCACAAAACGTGGGTACAGTTATCTTATGTATAAATCCTGATTCAAACGTTCATCGTTTCCTAAGCTGGTATATCCACGTTTAAATTCAGCTGCCCAAAATTTAACGGTGGTAATGGTGCAGAGTCCCCGTACACAGCCTCCAACTCATCTTTGATTTGTGTAGGCGTATTGTGTATTTTCCGTTTTCAGAAAAACACACATCGACTGACTCAAACAATTGTCACACAACAACTGAACGTCTAAAATGACTGAAATTTTTGTGAGTACCTGTCAAAAGATAGGAAATCACATTCCCCTTGTTTTTATTAACGAGTGTTGCCATCTTCACGTTCAGGTAGGAAACTTTTCAGACCATTCTCGTATAAAGTGCAGGAAATCAACACCTTGAAAGTGTCTGGCAGACGTCCCCCTCTCTCCCCGCGAAAAGTATTGATTGGAGATTATACTGTTATCCAGTTGAACATATTTAAAAATCTGTTTTTATCCTATATCATACTATATAGTTTCGGGATATATTGCGACACGTCAAGCGTCCCCTCCAATTATTTTTCCTACTCCGGCGCATTGTGGGTGGAGTTATCGCAATATTTCCCGAAACTAGATTAACCTATTATATAGTACACACACATGAAAAATCTAAACCTTCATACTATAACGTAGGTCAGGCAGTCGCTGGCAAAATATTGGAATCGGTTATTAATTTAAAAAATATATGAATTTAACTTATAATTTATAAAAAATTAATATCTATCAATTTGTGATATAGAAATTGTACTTATAGAAATATGTCATAACATTTTTTTGGAAAAATGATTGTTTGGAGAAAGTCGTTTTTAGATTAGTTTGCCTATTAAAATAAATAAATCGTTGATGTTGAAGCTTGTAATAAAAAACTTAAAAATGGTTTTTGAAGCGCTGCTGTTTTTAATATGTTGCTTTTATATTGTTTACAGCCAAAATTCTATGGAGACACTGAAAAACCTGAATAATCTGTCCGAAACTCTGCACTTCCGTTTCTTTTCATTTATGTTGGGTTCGTATTAGCTGAAGGTAAAATAATTTTAATTTTGAAATAATGTCTATTTTTAATATAAACTCACATGTTATTACAATCAATTATTGTGTACATCATTTTATAAACAGATACGTAGGTGTTAAGAATAGATTGTCTATTATTAATATAAGGAACATTATTTATTGTGTGGGGTGCTAAGAATGGTTAAGATTTTTGCAGAATGATCTTTTTGCTAAGAGAAGTGTCAATAATCTTTTTTATACAAGCCTGTATAAATTTAAATAAAATATTTTGTATTTTTTAAATGTATATATTGTAATAAATATATCTAATATTTATTAAAACATTTATAAAAGCTAATTTTAATTGGCGTTGTCAGTGCACTTAATCACTCTTATGGTTTACCTGTTATGTATTGTTTGTTAGTGACTGATATTTTTTATAAGTGAATAAAAGAGATTGATTTCACCCTACTTTTAAGTAACAATTATAAAAATTCCTTGTTTGCTTAATTTGTATTTGTTTCATTGTATTTTGCTTCTCTAAAAACTCATCATAGAAGGACTACATAAATTTTACGTTTTTTAACCAGTTTAATATTAGTTAAAAATGATTTATGGTGTGAAAGTTGACACCACTACTATACAACAGAAAGACGAATTTGCCGATCGTGATTTGTCTGTAAGACAAGCGAATTCTTTTATCTGTCAGAAGGTTTCAACTTACTGGAGCTTCCTTCTATTTTGTCATTTGGAATCGGGATATTAAGGGCCGTTTGCACCGCTTCTATTTACGACTTAGCTATGGGGTTAGCTATAGGAAAGGAGGACAATATCATATGGCTGTTTATCTCTAAAAGTGTCCACCAAAAACCATGAAATATTTCAGAAAGTGGCCAGAATGGCGTTTGTGTACTAGAAGAGCAAGATCCAATGATATATAGTTATATAGATTGCTCATTCATATATAAATCAGACGACGAGAACCGGGTTTCTATTTAATTATTGTAGATTTTCTTCATTTCTACTCCTTATACAGCTGTTCCTCTAGATCAGCCATACTCAACCGGGCCACATGCGGCCCTCCAAGCCTTTTTGCAGCCCAAAACACTAATAATAAGAAGGATCTTCTTAAAACTATAGATTTTTGACATTTTAAGCAAAATGCGCGAAAACATTCATCAGTCGCTTGCGCTAAATATCACGTTATTTTTTAAATAAACGTTTGTAAGAACAAGTTAGCTCCACTTTCGGCATTTTCGAGTTGAGTACACTTTTGTCTCCAAAGTAGTTCAAATAATATAAGGCATAAACAAGTATAAACGAAGTCTGCATTCATGATAAACAGATGGTCAACAAAAACTAACTCCTTATTAATATATTCACAATTAGCACAAACAATGGCATTTATACAGAAATATAATCATAACATTGTATTCAGTCCAAAAAAAAAAAAAGATAAGAGACAAATTATTTTTTCCTAAAACAAGATAAAGGACAACACTTATTTTTGATTAATGTATTCTTTGAAATACTTCAACATTTTGCCCAAGCCATTTGTTTTGTTTTGCCTAGAGCCGTCTCTGCTCTTTCTTGATTGGTCCGAGACGTCGACAAAGTGATTATGTTATGTCACCCTCTTTTTCCATGATACTGCTAACCTTTCAAAACCAATAGATGATATATAACACATAATGCCCGAATCGCCGTAGTGATTGATTGATTGGTCAAGCCGTAACGAGTGATTGGTCAAGCTGTAACGAGCGTGGATGCTGACCCTCGCCTCCATATTGTTTTTGTGTTAAAACGACCAGTAGCAATTCTTAAATCACCGAAACACCAGCTTTTTGCATTGCTTGAAAAACTCAAGCCATACTTGCAGAGGGGTGCCTGAAAGGGTAAACCTCTGAAAATACAAAAAGTGCAAGACATTAATAATGCCAAGAAGAAAGGTTTACTAAAACTTTGCAACTCAGGTGCTATACCTGATGAATTTCACCATTATTATCACAATCCTGTATCCAATAATGTTAAAGACACGGTACCTGAACCTTCCATTGAAGATAGTGACACAGACATTGAATATTATGACGTGTATGTAGACAACCAAAATTATCAAAGTGACGTTTCTTTTTTTTATTTTTTTCTTTTTCTCTTTTTTTTTGTGTTTTTTTTTTTGTTACAAATCAACAGATTCTTAGTTTATACTTTGTGAAGACTAATTATGTTTTAAATACATTTTTTTCATTGGAGTTATTGATTATTAAACAATTTAAAGCTATTACTGATTTTTTATTCAATTTTAAACTTTTGAAAAGTGTTTTCTTGAAACTCTAAAAATGTGAGTTATCTTGTTTTAGTAATAGGATATAGGTTTTTGTCCGATAGGATATATTTATGTTTTGTATTTTATTTATTAGAGATTTCCACCAACTAATTTTAAAGGGATGGCATAAATAAAGCGTCATCATAAAAAAATATTGTGGCCCGTGTAACATAGCAAACTTATGTATGTGGCCCGAAGAAAAAAAAGGTTGAATATGGCTGCTCTAGATACATGCAATTGATGTAAATGTTCATTTGTTGGTAAAGCTTCTTCATATAGCTTATTTTTACTGCCTTGAAATGAAGCTGACAAATATAATCTAAATCCATGCTTAAAGACATTGGCAATTTTGATGTCTTTACAACAATAAAAACAAAATTATGAAATTTTAAACTCATAAAATATTTATTTAGAAACCATTCACTAATTGATAGTTCATAAATTTTAATAACTAAATTAATTTACTAAAGGAAAATTAACACTCTTTCAAATTTAATACAAATAATAAAAAAAATTATACATACCGTGACTTGTAAAAAACGACTGCCGTATATCTTTTTTATTTTTTGAACAGCTTTTGATTGCACACGTTTTCACAATTTTAATATAAGAATATATTATTACAATAAAATTTGACTATTGTCGTCTATTATCAAAATTTCCCTATGATTATAAGCTCGGTCTTTTTTCACAGTGCAGTTTTTATGTTATACCCTCTTATTTACATATAGGTGAGCAATCTATATAAACTATTATTGGTGTGATTGTGTAATCTGAATTATCGACTATCGCAACTTTCGGCGCTTTCAAACGCCATTTTGGTACAGTAACGCCATCTTAATTTCTTACATTTTAAAGGGACTCCATAAACTTAGCTAAGATATCTTGACTTAAAGTAGTATGGTTTTCAGAAGTTTCAATTAGCAAAATCTTTGTTGGGTTGGAGTACATCTTGATAGCAGGGTAAAATTTTAGAATTTTTTTATTATTACTAAATAATTGTTATTTGTTTTAATAAAATTTATGTTGCATTTTATAATTTCAACTGATTTCAATTTTGGTTGTGATTTGTTACTTTATCAGTTTAACTTCAAGATGAAATGTACCTATCGAAAGAAAAACAAAATTAAAAAATTAAAAGGAAAGTGCTCCGAATTAAAACTTTGAAAATACTGTGCTATGTAATAAATCTGTCGGGTATTAAAAAAAAATTATCTCATCTAAATCATCACTAATCATGGAACAGATTTTCTAAAAAAATTCTAAAAAATTGAAACAAAAACGTCGATTAAAAAAAAAATAAAATAATGAAATCTTACCATGCATTTATAATTATTTTATTTTTTATTACTTGATGTATTTGTCAGTTTGAGGTTAGGTTAATGCAAATTAGAACTTAAACTGACGATACCTTCGACTTAGTTTCACTACTACTACTTAAGTAGAATTTAAGTCATTTGCGTTGTGGCCAGGGAGCCAAATATGTAACTTAAGTGCCACTTAAAGTTAAGGTTCACCTAAGAAGTGGCGCAAACGGCCTTAACAGGTCTAAATTCTGCCAAAATTATAGGAAATTTATGAGTCTAGGAACTTGAGCTTATACATTTACAGAAATAGAAACATGTTTATATTTTCCTTAAACGGATTTATAACATCCGAACCACAAAAAATGTTTCTAAGGTAGCCTATGACCGACAAAGATAGAGATACGAGACATGTGATAACTAGATGCCTCTGATTTAAATCCAAATTTATCATTTTGAAAAGAAGAATGATACGCTCCGACATGCGTTACGTTTTCCATGCCCTACTTTAGAAATATTTTGGATCACTCCATATAAATTGAATGAACCGTCTTTTGAAGAATGTTCCGAGCCTTCTCAAAACTTCTTGGTGTGGAACCCAATAAATAGTAAAATAATTCTTACCGCCCGATTCACAAAAGGATCTCTAAATGTAGATACCTGTAAAATACAGATGGGTAAACTTTAATGAATCTCTAATAAAGTTGGGAGATATTTCACTGACTGTTATTTAATTAGTGATAGTTAAAAATATTGATAAGTTGACATTGTTCCATCGATTTTATAGATGTTTTTCAGACAAATATCGAATTTATTAATGATTTGAAGAAACATAACCTCATTTATTTGAATTGACGTTTCTATCTTTAAGGACCTGCAGGTAGGTAAATATTTAAAAATGGATCAGGTACATACGTGCCTAGATTATATACCTAGGCGGGAAATGTACACTTTTCGCCAAGATTTGTATACTATTTAATTTTAAATCGTAATTAAAAAAATATATGTTTATTGCTGCTATGTATATAAAAATACTCTCACTGAGTTGGCTGTGAAAACAACACACTTTGACATTGAGAGGTAGCCTGACATTTTTTAATGTTACTTGACCAATTTTGATCTGTGAATTTAACAAAGAATAAGTGGAAAATTAGCCAATTAACCACAAAACATGACCGGTTTGGGACGATTTGTGATATTTTCTATGTATCGGCTTGTGTTCTTATGATAGGTACGGAGAATTCGTTCCCGACTATGGGATGGGAAGTGACATTGAAATGTTACTTTCCACCTAGGGACCTAAAACTCGTAATGGCCTACTTTCCTGATTTTAAATAGTTTTGAATTTAGGTTATTACAAAATATATGATTGTAAATAAAATATTTTTTTAAACCTTATTCTACTACTTTTGAAAAACGTTAAGCTCTTTTATGAAGTATTTCAATATTTTTCCTATAATATTTAAAAATTGCAATTTGTAAGTCAATAAACTTAAACGGTTATATAAAAGTTAAAAACAAAATATGGATAAGTTTCAAATTTTTTACCCTCACGTTAAATTTGGTCACAATCTAATTATGTATTTCTATATTTATAGTTAGAGGATGCAACATAGAACCTTAAAATAAAAAAAAATGTATATAAAAAATGAACCATCATCTCGAATTACATTAAAAAGTATTAATCCTTAATCATTTTTGGTTTTTTAGTTATTTTTGATGAATTTTTAGTGAAGCAAAATTTATATTTCATATATTTCAACAGATTAGTTTCCATTATGATAGGTCAGATATTAGCATAAAACACGAAAAGAAAAATATTAAATTTCTGCAGCTGTGATATGTGTTGGCCTACATTTTACGATGTTGTTTTAAATGTTCATACTTTTACCGGTGAAATGATTAGAATGATGAACATTTAAAATAATAATTTGTATAATATAAAATGAATATTTTTCTATTTTGTGAAATATTACATAATTTCTATTTTGACTTCACAGGATTTTATGTATTCGTCACATCATTTTATTGTATTTGTTATCGATTATTAGACACTATTAAATATTTTAAACTCGTTTTAATTTTTATTCATAAATTTTACCAGACATATCTTTTTTAGACTCAGAATGTTTGTAGTTTTCCCTACTTCTAATGAACGGCTCTTCACTTAAGCGTCTTGAAGTCGCGACAAGTATTCTCACAGCGAATGGCCTTGAACGCCCATAACGCTGTCTACTTGCTTCAGGACCAAAGATATCTGGGATATGCCCAGGATGAAAAATGATAAAGAAGTACAGTTTTGTGCTGGGCTGCAAGAAAGAATGGAGCCAAGAATCCATCGCGCTTGCAACCGAAAGACATGCTATTCAGTGGTATACGGATGGTTCCAAAACCATAGAAGGAACTGGAATAGGAGTGTATGGGCCTAGAACCAAGCACTCCGAAAGCTTGGAAAAATACCCAAGCATCTTCCAGGCGGAAATTCACGCAATCGAGAAGAGTATCCAGTTTTACATCGAGAGAAACTATCGTAGACAAGAGATTATCATCATGTCCGATAGCTAAGCAGCCATCAAAGTGCTGAGCTCGTTCTGCGGTATCAGCAGTAACATAATATTAGGAGAGATTAAAAAAGAATTGGGCAGTAGAAGAACCGATAATTGGAACAATCTCTTGGTGATGAGACAGGCTAAGATACTTCTGGGTGTATATAACCGGAAAAGATCGGAAGCCTGCATCTGCCTGAGCAAAAACAGGCTACGTATTGTAACAGGGATCCCTACTGGGCATTGCTAACTAAAAGGAGTAAACTGAGAGTAGTAGAAGATAGTGAGTGCAGATTCTGTGAGGAGGAGGAGGACGAAATCTCCATTCACATTCTAACTGAATGTGTAGCACTCCAGAATCCAAGGGCACTATACTTAGGAGCACATCAAATAGATTAGGGATAGAACAATACCGATATTGATATCGGTATATCGGCAGTTGTTGCCGATTATCGGCATCGTATCGGCAAGATAAATAAATTGTCCTTTTACAGGTATTACACGTTGCTTTTTCGTTTTCAGATTTATCTGTCTGCATCTTCTCAAAATGTCTCCAAAAGATGCTCCTTTTACCTTTATTATTACTTTAAAATTTTTTATTTTCCGCTTCTTTACTACTACTAGGGTCAGACGTTACGCTTTTGGCGAGGCAGTCACGTTTTTTGACTTGCCTGCACGCTTTTTATAAAATAGACCGGGTAAAAGACCTTTTTATGTTCGACTCGTTTTAGGAAAAAATAAGCTGACTTTTTTTTTAGAAATGGCCACAAAATTTGGACCTGATTATATAAAAATGCTCTATCGTCGCGGTTGCGCTTTTCACTTCCGGAAATGTGGCATCCCTAACTACTACCCTGGCCAAAATAATCTGCAACCGTTCTCTTTCCACCAGGGTTGAGCGATTATCAAAAAAAATAATTGATTATTCGAAATAATCTAATAATAATCGATTATTTGAAAAGATCGAATAATCGAAAATAATCGATTATTTTGCCCAACCCATAGCTGGAATACCGAGATATAATAGAGGTTGTGATCGTGCAACAAAATAGCATAACAGTTAAAATGAAAAAAAAAAGGCACAATCAATTTTCCAACAAGGTGCCGCAAGTGGTACCATCCCATATAAAAAAAATTAGGTCGGGGTGAGTTTCACCCTCTAAAGGGGATGAAAAAAAATTTTTTTGGTATGACCGGAAAGCTTACAAAAATCTCAATTTTGCGTTTTATCCGCATCTTTCAACCTGAAGCTGTAGCGAATTTGCGCCAGTTAAAGTCCCCACCCTGTATAGTTTGTAATAATTTTTTAGTTGCAACTCGTTATTTTTTACGAAATATTAATAATTTAACATTAAAGTTCCTATGGAAATATTATTTATTAGGTATAAAATTGAAATATTTGTTCTAAACATTTGTTTCCCTAGTCCCTCTCATTTTTCAGTAAATTGTAGTTATTAATTGTTGGAATCAAGATCGCATAATTTTTTTTTAACTTTTTTATTTGAACTTTCAACAATGCAGTTCAACAGTTTTTATAAAGATTCATTGACTTGCCCTGGATTCCGAGATTTTACAATTTTTACGCCTTACGGCGCTCCACTATAAGTTATGTGACCAGTTAATTATTATGTATTAATTTATATTTTTTAAATTTATTCTTGATAAACTGAAGAAATTCATTACCGGTTTATAAAAATAAATATTCAACAATTTGTTATTTATTCCATAATTTAAATTCACTTTTTAAATTGCATATAGATTCTTACAACTCGTGCGCTATTGTCAATATGTACGTAGCCGGTTCTTTCAGTCAACTGGGTATCCGTGACCTTTTAGGATTCTCCTCAGCATTGCCCCAGGCTTGTATATAATTATTTTTTTACCAATGACAAAGTGTTTAGAGGTGATTTGAAGTTTTGATTAATAATATACACATTCTTCGGCATTCATTTAATTCCTTATGAAAAATAATAATGTAAACTTACATTCTGATGATGGTGATGTTCCTTTTTAATAATGATTATATTTTTGATATTTAAAAACTGGTTTTTAGTTACCATCAGCGCTTAATAATGTTTGGTTAGAAGTTAAAATTATAGTTTGAGAAGTGAATTTTTAAAATAATTTCAATTAAAATGACATCAACTGCAGACTTAGTTACAGATTCGGTAGCAGATCTTAATGCTAAAAATGAAAAATCTTTTAAGGAGATGAAATTTAAAGAAAAAGTGTCTTATATCCGCGAAGTGATAACTGTGGAACCTATTATTGGTTCCTATGTGATGGCTTCAACTTTATGCACACCCACAATATTTAATTTAGAATTTGAAAAATCCTGTAGGTCCAATTTGGAATTTAATGATACTGTGTGTGAAGCTGTATTAAGTGGACAAGTAGAAAATATAACTGAACAAAATAATGAAATACAAGTATTGATAAATAATATGCATTCATGGCAACTGCCAATGCAGAGTGTAATGCCTCTAATTTTGATACTTTTTTTGGGATCGTACAGTGATAGGCATCGATGGAGAAAACCTTTTCTGATAATGCCCCTTTTTGGAGAAATGATCTCGATAACGGGATTAATGTTGTGTGTAATTTTTATGAAACCTTGGACGTTGGAAGTGCAGGGTGTTTTTCAATTAGTGATACCTTCGTTTTTTGGTGGGCAGCCCATGATAACGATGGCAGTGTTTGCGTATATAGCGGATGTTAGTACTATTGAGATGCGGACTTTAAGAATTGGAATAGTTCAAATTGTTATTGCTGCGATTGTCCCTGCAACTCAATTAATCGCTGCTCATATGTTTGAACTGACAGGTGAGTAGATTTAAAAAATATTTTTCGAAAATTATTTTATTTTTGATTTTTTAAAATGTGTGTAGGTAATACATTTAAAATTTTAAAAAGTATGATCGTAGAAATAGTAAAGTGTATAACTTCCAATGAGCGCCAAACATATTTTATTAATTAAATTAACATAGGTATTTCAACTTTAGAGGTTGTTGTACTGTAGGACAAATACTTTTCCTACGACCTCTTAGAAACTTATATAATTATTATATTGCAGACAGATTTATGTTTGATACTATGGAAAGTATCCATTATCACACTAGTGCGGATAAACTGTCAAATGCATAATTTCAATTACATTTATTTTTATAGCAGTTCAGAAAAATAAATGTAATTTCTCATCTTATTTTTTTTTGTAATTTTTTAAAAGAAATTAATGAAAAACATTAACCACAATTAAGTCAAATAAAAACTAAAGATATATAACCAACCTATGGAAGTTTGATACATTTTTATGTGTTCTGATGTTTAATTTTTATGATTTACAGCTGGGTTGTCAAATCATTTGAAAAACTCTCAGAAATATAGAAATTAATAATCAGTCCAAATAAACATAAATAATGTCATTAGATTGGCGGAAAAAATCATCATACTGATAATTTAAAATACCTTGCCTTATGACGTTATAACTGAATAATTTTTTGTCCAATTACGCATATCGTCGGTATACAAGGAAAGTCCAAAATTTAAAATTTTTTGTTTGTAATGGCTATGTACTTTAAATTCAATATTATTTATCAGGAACAAATGAACAACTCGCAAAGTGCCATAAAAATGCTTATACATAATTTAAAATTCCATAATGACCAAATAATTGATTTAATTTTATAATCATAAACAAATCAATAAAATATTAATAACTCAAAACTCCGATCGGTGGACTTGGTCATCTTCTCTTGTATACCGACTATATAATGTGCATAAGAATCTATTTTTGCTACGACCACTTGGGGTAAGTGACAACATCGCACTATTTAGTCTTACGGGAGGTGCTCTATATCACACGCGTGTGGATAAGAATCTACTTTCCACCCGTGTGTAGATATCTACTTTCCGCATCAATTGTGAAATATGTCAGACGAATAATTTCTATTTTGATCTATGTAATGTCCATATTGTTAACCTAGATCCTAGATATTTATTTTTAACAAATTATTAAAATAATTTTAAAGTACATTTTTTTATTATAAATATTTGATTAGATAATTCATGTGACATAAGACTGGTAGTTCAGTTCATAGAGCATTCAACTCTACATGTCGCGATGCGAGTTCGTTCCCAGAAATGGAAGTAATCTTTTTTATTTTTTAAAAAATAAAAATTAGACAAATACGAGTATTGTTGTCTATTACATTACATTTATCATAATATATTTGGTATTATTTTGATTACTGTTCAGAAAAAAAGTGTAAATAGTTAATTAATAATAAATCAGTTCTTGTTCATGGCTGATTATCTTATTAATAATTGTCGCATTTAAAAAATAAGCTAATGCCACATTTTTATTGATTCTTTATAGCCAGATTTCGTGGTTTTACATTTTTTTTATAAAATTATTTTGTGGTCGTAGGAAAAATATTGTACATCACTTGTGTAGAAATTATTTATCACACTCGTGTGATTGTCGCACTCAACTTATGCCTCGTGCGTCAATATTTCCCACGCAATTTAATTCAATTTTATTTAAAATGAAATTGTTTAAACCATTCCTAAAAAATGTTAGTTTTAAAAGGGGCACATTTTTTCTTGTTCCTTACTTTAAAAGTTCCTATAATTTCTTTTTGATAAACTTAAAATTTTGGAATATATGAATTTTTAACTTTAAAAAATTACGATTATGACAAATTTTAACGGTTTATAAATTTATAAAAATAACTGACTTGATATTAAATATTTTTTTTATGGGACTGTGTTACATTATTTTTTTTTCTGATCTATATCTATCGTGTGTGGGCAAAGGAGTATAAGTCAAAATTTTGGGTAAATTAGTTTTAGTCATCTATACTTAGTGTAAAACGCGGGATAAGTCAATACTTTTTATTAGTCCGGGAAGCATATTTCCGTTTCCTATACGAGTAGCGCTACGAATATTAATATTTTATCTACTATCAATATGTAATGTCAAACTTTACAGTTGTCACTTGAATTTCGTAATCACCTACTTTACCGCACTAGTGCGGTAAAGTGTCACTTTTTCGTTTTAAGAAAGCCAACAGCTGGGTATATTTGCTAATATCCAAGTTTCTCTTCGTCGAAATAGTGGTCCTTAACATGGAATAGTGAGTCCACAATGTAGATGGTTTTTCAACTGCGGCTCTTTCGAAAAAATAAGCCAATAAAATCTTTTCCGAAACACCATCGACATTTTTTAATTTGCACCATTCTTCAAATCGTTGGAACTCTTTTTCATATCTATTCCTAGATTTTGCAGGAATTAAAGTTTCAATGGATTCGTTAGTTGCCAATTCAATGTAAGACATATTTTCGTCACAAATATTCATGATAATTATTATTTTGAGTTATTATTTAGCCAACAAACAATACCTAGCAACTACACAAGGCTACTATGTTTTGTCTCGCAAAAATTATTAATGTCAATTATGACTACGCTAAAGGTGAATTCAAATATCTAACAGACGGCTAACTTCATCTTTGTCATATCAATGTACAGAAAATCTGGTATTTATTTTTTTTTTGATAGTAAATAAAATTTTGTACAATATTCGTATCGTAAATTCATATTACGATACTCGATGGACAATATTTCCATTGCATATCGTATAATATGAAACTTTACGATACTTATATCGTAAATAACTATTACAATGCCTATGCTAGTGACGCACATCTCGTGAAAATACACTACAAATTTAGTACCTACCCTGTTATTTTAATTTAAATCTGACCATTAGGGCAATTTTACCTAATTTCTTGGGAAGAGGCTTATTGGAACTGGTTTTCAATGACTAATTTGCATAATTTTGTTAATCCGAAACCCGCGTTAAGTATAGCGAACAGACTGTAATTGTTACATCATATTTTTTAACGGATTTTCGCTCGATCTTCCTGTCGGACGACTAGATTCGATGCATTATTGTTTTAGGTTGAGATTACAGAACGTGTGCAACTTTGCAGATCTGCAAATATGGCGGCAACTTTGCAGATCTGCTAATATGGCGGCAACTTTGCAGATCTGCAAATATGGCGGACTTACAGATGCAAGTATCCAAAAAATATCTGCAAATTCGCAATATTTATTACCCCTAACAACACTAAATCCAAATCCACCCTTAAGAAGGTTAGAACATCCTACAACCATGAAGTCTTCTGTTTCTTTTGATTGAATACAGGTTATGGTGTCAGATTATCGAGTTTTGAAATGAAGACTTAGGGCGAGATTACAGAACGTCGGCAACTTTGCAGATCTGAAAATATGGCGGACTTACATATGCATGCATCAAATTTTCGTATTCCAAAAAAGATCTGCAAATTCGCAATATTTATTGTGGTTTATTACCCCCAACAACACTAAACTCAAATCCACCCTTAATGAGGTTAGAACATCGTACAAACTTGTAGATTATCAATTTTTACTTTTTTTTTAATAACCATGATGTCTTCTGTTCCTTTTGATTGAGTACAGTTCGTGGTGTCACATTATCGAGTTTTTAAACAGAGTAATGGATTTGGGTTGTGTGTTGTAAGTCCGCCATATTTGCAGATCTGCAAAGTTGCAGACGTTCTGTAATCTCACCCTTAGTCTCCATTTTAAATTCAACGTGCGCAAAACGTAAAACAAGTATGGAAACAATAATAGCAAAAATTCCTTGAGAGTATAAAATTATCCATAATTCTGAAAGCATAGACAAGAAGCTTACTCTACGAGAAATTTCAACTAGACAATAGTTACACCAATCAATGCGATGAATTTTTAAAACATTTTCCTTGGAAACTTGTACCAAATGGATTGTTTTTAAAACATATTCCAACCTCCAATAATTGAATTACCGAAAAGATTTCGCGTGTCAGCTAAACAAAAAAAAAACAGAAAAAGGAACCAGAACCCGAAATTTATTGCTAAATATAGTTTCTAATCAGCCCAACGCTTGCACTAAGGATAGTACCTTTTATATTTAGAAATAATTTTAATTTAGTTTTTCTACGTTCATGCAAAAAACAAAACTTTATTGAACTATATTTAGTGAAAAAACTGGTTCTTTATTGCACTAGTGCAATAAAAATTTTATTGCACTCATCTGTCATTTTTCTACAGCGTTTTATGATCATGACAAACATAAATATTCAAATCGATGACAAAAAAAATATTTAGTCCATTTTCATTTTCTGTGTTACGTTTTAAAAACAATTGCATATTTTATATTATTTTCAATTATTTAATAAATAAATTAATAAAAAAATGTATTTATTTTATTAAAAATGTCATTACAAATTATGAACACAAACGTAAATAAATGCCTCAAACAAAGGAACACGATCACGGCTACTATGATTTGGATAATACAACTGCAGTTCTATAAAACATTTTTAGGTTTTGGAATGAACGTAGAAAACATATTGTATGCAACTCTTGCAAAAAGTGTTTATTACACTCGACGAGTTGTCCAACTCGGCCTGACGGACTCGTTGGACAATTTCACGTCGCGTCTCTGGGATTTCTTGTATTGTCTGGAAATACCCATTAGATATTTTGCTGGATATCCATAGGATATCTTCTATATTCTGGATATAGACGGACATTTGGATATCCATATTAGATCCACGGGAAATTTCTGATATCCTGTGGATATATTGCGGATATCCACAAAAGATATTCTGTGGATATCTCTGGGATTTGGTGTGTTGTCTGGGCCTGTATATGGAACTAGCCACATCTAGATTGAATCTTTATTATCCTGATGTGCCTGTTCTTCATTATTGTCTTGTAGTCTTAGGAAATAATAGTTTATATTACAAGGAGGAAAGTTTTTTTTATAAAAAATATTAGATAAAATACAGGATGACCTACTTAAAATTTCAAAGTTCATCTTATTTCCGGTCAAATCGGAAGTGAATTTTGAACCTCAAGTCTTAAAACAAAGTAAAACGTTCAATATGATCTAGTATAGCAACAAGAAATACTAAAGTTACGGGGGTTAGTCACATTGTTAATTAAATGTTACATTATAAAACCCAAAACAACTCGAAAACAATTTGTTTACTAAAAAAAAACGATTTTCTTGTAATATTTTATTATTTATTATACAATCGAATGCGGTTTTAAATATAATGTGATCAAAAAATTTAAATCTCTGAATTTTGGAGATAAATGTTCGTTAAAAGCAAGCAACCGATAGAGGGTTGCAAAATGAATCATAGATTATTCGTTTTTTTTTTAGAAAAATTCATTTATCGGTTTTTAATTAATCACTTATTTTCGATTAATCGTTTTTTTTATTAATCTATTATTTTCGATTAATTAATAATTTTCTATTTTTTAAATATAATCGAATAATCGATTGTAAAGAAATACGAAAAAAATCGATAATTCGGCTATTTTTTAGAAAAATCGATTTGTCGGTCAATCGGTTTCTTAATTAATCGATTATTTTCGATAACCAAATAATCGATTTTAAAGAAATACGAAAAAAAAAATAGAAATTGGCAACATTTGCACAGCTCAAACACCGTTGTATGTTACATCTCTGGTCTCTTTAATCTAAGGAAAAACGCTTCTTTTCGCACTCGAAAGATACTCAATATGCCATCTTCAGACAGCTTATCCCACTCCGTGACGTGAAATTTTTCATAGTAATCGTAGAAGAACTACCGTTGTTTTAGGTTATTTTGGAGTATTTCTCACGGCTGGCGGACTATACATCTTCGGATTCCTTTACGGACTGTACTGGATAAAAGAACCCCATGAACCTATAAAAACTTCCGAAGTAGGAATGCTGCGCGACATGTTCAACCCCAAACACGCCATTGACACATTTAATTTGGTTTTAAAGAAGACTCCAGGAGTTAATAGAGAGTACATAATGTTGATGTTACTAATAGTATTTATTTACAGTGCTGTAGTAGATGGAGAAGGAGGTGTATTTTTTTTATACGCTCAGAGCCAATTCGGTTGGACCATTATTGAATTCAGTTATTTTTTAACTTTAAATACTTTGGTACATCTCATAGGTAAGTTTCTACAATAAGTAGCTTTTATTCTAACCGACTATAACTGCTCAAAGGTTGTTTCTACATACATACATATTTTATTAATTAAATAATTTTGTATATCGCTGTTCCGGTAAAACAATGACGCAAATGCAAAATTATAACTTTTTCAGGAGAGACGAAAAACGAAAATTATTACTTCCAAATTTGGGCATATAAATCACAAAGAACTTGGTCTAAATAGCAAATACGACATTTAACCATGGAGTAAGTAATGTCTTCCGTAAAGTTGCGGACACAACTGATTAATTTGTCATTGTTTTTCAAAAGTGGAGGGGCAAACATTAATATTTTAAAACTGACGCAACTACCATCTAGCAGCCGCGAGTGGATATAAAATTACGCCGTTGTTATACCGTATAGAGAGACTAATTTGGAAACTAATGACATGTTAAAATCAAAATGTCACAATTTTGCAGTTGCGTCATTGTTTTACCGGAACAGCGAATTATGTTCGTTCAACATGAACCTTTTATATACAGGGTGTTTCCGAACTTGGCGTCCAAATTTGTAGGGGTGGTAGTTCGCATAATTTGAGAGCGATTGGCAGATTTCATTTTTCTAAAAAAATTATAATAAACAAAATAGAGCCATTATAAAAAAAATCAAAAAGCGGGTCCTACCCTGAGCGCGTAGCGCAATAGTCGCTTGATCGGTTACTCATCGGGATTTACAACTCAAAAACAGATGCGATTTGCAAATTTCTCCCTCCGCCCGACCGGTATCGAAAGACGTAGCCGATTGTTTTTCTAGTGCGTATTGCTCGAGGCGGACAATCACTGTGCTGGACCGTACCTATTTAAAAATTTTAATTAATTTTTAATTATTTTTATTTTAAATATTTTGGAAAAATGAAATCTGCAAATCGGTCTCAAATTATACGAACTACCACCCCTACAAATTTGGACGCCAAGTTCGGAAACACCCTGTATATTATATAGTATATTCGACCGAAAACGCTTTACGCCAGAGAGCTCTCGTTATTTGATACAAAAACATGAACCCTTAGAGGACTTTAGTTAAAACTAAAAGATTGAATTCAAAATTTGATATAAATAAAAAATGCATTTGAATATATTTTTTCAAATATGGTGACCAATATGCTCTTTAAGAAAGTAATATTATATATAAAGTATATATTATAAACTAACTTCTGAAAAATTTTACCAGTGGCGCGCTATTAGGGTTAGCAACTTTTTCCCACTATTTTTACGCCACTGGAACATTTTTTTAAAACTTTTGTTTTTTTAATATTCTGTTAATTTTTAGTAAAGAAATTAAAAATACCTTTTATGGAGCTAACATGGACGGTGTTGTATAAATTTGCTTCTAATCAAAACTTAAAAGTCCGTACTTAGATAATTTGTAACATCTTAACATTTTTAAATTCTAATCTAGTAGGCACGTGTCAAATTTTTATTAGTTCGTGTATTTGACACTAAGATCTCAGTAGATCAAATTTGAAAAAATATTTTAAGTCGTTTTTGCTTTATGAAAAATTTTCATAGTCCTAAAAATTGAATATCATATTAAAATTATAAAAAAAAAGAAAACAAATGATATTTTTATCACGTTAAATGTTACTTTAATGGAAGTATTGAAGTATCATATTACTTGTAATACCAGCAATAAATTAATTTAAGATTTAACATCAAAAAAGTAATTAAATTAAAAACTATTTAGCTGAACGAGCACCTTCTTTTGTTCGTGAATGTAGCCCATATCGTCAAACATCATTTATTTAAACAGTTTTTTAATATATTTTCATTAATACACTAATTTATTTTATAACCTAATTTATATGTAAATACAACACTAACTATATCTTTGACTAATACACTAATTTATAATGACAATATTTATCTAAACAGACAATTTCTTAACTAAAACTGACTTCTCTAACAGCACAGTAGCCTATTTATACACTTGAGTGACTTCTAGAATATTCTAAACATACTTAGACTAAAAATCAGTGCACCCACCAGAAAATATATCGACGCATCCACCATTTTCTATACCAGAATCGATGTCTCTGTTTCGTCACGGGTTCAGTATTTTCTAGAATGAATTACTTCGACTAGCGGTGACCAAGCATAGGCATATCATAGAAAGTTTCGGAGTTTACTCACTGTATCGAATATTCTTGATTACGGGAAAATAAAGGTCGTAAGAAGCCCAAATAAGGCTGAGAGGGACTTTATGACAATATGACCAGTACTTAAACTAGCTATGATTCCTTAAAATAACTAAACAATAGGACGAAATTGTCAATTTTTTTTTAATTTTAGGTACTGCCCTAGCTGTTCCCTTATTTACAAAGGTGCTTCATCTCACTGACATGATAATATTGTTTTTAACATTTTTCGATAAAATTGTGAGCAATATTATTTTTGGATTAGCTAATACCAATGTTCTGTTGTATACAGGTAAGAGATTCGGAAATTACCAAACAATCGTCTTCTTCATACCCATACTCTTGTTGCACAAATTACTATTTTAATTCACCTGAACTCTCGTGGTAGTACCGAAGTATATTGTTTGGTAATATGTTGCAGGTATATTTATTTTTGTAGAAAAACTATCAATTAAAAGTTATGCATCAATATTAGTAAATTCTTATAAACCTGTTTACTTGCAATATTATTTTGTATATTTATAATAATGATTTCGTTTTCTTATTATGTAAATAATAAATATTCAAAAGTCTTAGATCATACCATGATTTATCAAAATAAAGTTTTATAATTATTAAATGAACGTTGGGTAATTATTATTAACCTTGGATTATCAAATGTTCCTATAATAATTAATGTTACAAGTCACTAAATAATTTGAAGAAACAGGCCTGTGATGTTAGCTAGGATTTTCTTTCAATAAGCTATCAACCTTTTCAACGTTTCTTTATATTTATAGGTGGTCAAAATATAGCGAAATAGGTTTAAACGAAAAAAAAAGGCCGCAAATATATTTTTTTTGGGTGCACTCGAATTGCGGAAACGCATGGGCCAGGTAAAAGGTAATGAAAAAGGGATATAATCCCTAACTCGAACTGCGAACACGGTCTATGGGTTAAATGGACTATTCTCGTTTAGAAGTTGGGTATTCAGACGACACTGCTATATATTTTATCAATCAGACATGTGGGAAAGTTGAAACGTTGATTATAATATTATATTGATTTTAAAACCAAAAAAGGTTTATTTTTATTAATTAAACAATTGGAAGATGGCTGCATCCTTTTTATTTACAGATGAAGTAGAGGCCTCATTTGTTGAAGATTTTATAGCCGAGAAGTCAGATGATGAAAGAATTACTGTTTTGTGCCTATTTAGTGGCTACAGTATGTAGAAACCTACTAATATGTCTTCACCCAAAGTATGGGCAGCTAAAACTTCTACTTGTAGAAATACCAATACATGAGAGTCATTTCACTACAAATTTAGTGCCTATTGTCCCTCTCCACATCCAAATATTAATATTTTTTAAAGTCGGTAATTAATATGCAGACCGACACCTATATAAGAAATAACTCTGTGTTAAAACATGAGAAGAAGCTACAGAGAAGTGAAGTTTTAAATAAACAAAAATATATTGAATCTAAAATTTTGCTATAATAATCAAATAAATAGGAATGACTTTGGTACAAATTTGGTAGTATTGTTTCACTTTAATTTATTGGTTTACATATTTCATTATTAAATAAAATTAAATTTCATATTGTATCTGGTCGTTTTTTTCTTTTTCATAAGCTACCATTATTTCGCAGACTAGTTTCCGCAGTTCGGGTGTTTTAGATTGTTGAGACCCGGTCAAACTATTTTGTTTCCGCAATTCGGGTGTCGGATTATAGAACCAGATTATTATCTTTTCCGCAGTTCAGATGCACCGATTTTTTTTGAGCTACTTAGAACTCATATAGTGAAATTTACCTCAGTTTTAATCAAAAATAGTTGAACAAGTGTAGTTTTGTATTATAATCATACTTGTAGTAAAATATATGTTTTGTATTTCAGGTGCAATAGTGAGTCTAATCACGGGAGTAACACCTATTGGAATTAGATCTCTAGAAACTAAGATAGTATCAGAAAATGACTTGGGAAAAGCACAGTCCTTGTTTGGAATTTGCGAAGCTCTTGCCCCTGCAGTAGCTACACCAATTTATAGTAAATTGATTTACAATAATACTTTGACAACATTTCCAGCGATGTACTTCTTTTTCGGAATCTTCTTGTATGCCATCGCCAGTATGATCATTATGTAAGTAATATTATAATCCTAAAAATGTTACTTTTTAGGAAACAAAAACTATTTCCATTCACATTAACGATGACATGCTGCATTAAAAGTAAATAGATCTTATTTAAAACAGTAATAATAATATTTTAAACATCAATTTTGGATCAGTATGAATTATTTGTAGTCATGAAATAAGCCAATGAATAGGAACTATGTACCTACCTGTATATAGGTACTGTAAAAGTAAAAAAATTCTAATTTTTAAAAAAATTGTTTTACTAAAATTTGTTTGTGATGTCATTTTCTATAATTCTTGTATTATACATAATTTCTGGACCGTATATTAGAGAGAAAAGTGCAAATTTTGAATTTTGAAGATAACTCAAAAACAGATAAAGAGAGAAACACCAAATTTTAAATTTAATCTTTAATTCATCCTGCGGTGAACTGATTAAATTTTGAGCATAGTCGGAATATTGAGGGGTTACTTTATAGGGGTCGTTTTTATACTCTATGGAATATATGTTATTTGCGCTTCGAATAAAAGTTACTTGTAATGTTATTCTCTATAATTTTTGGCCTATAAATTATTTTCCTAAAATGGTCCGTATTCGAGAAATTTGACAAAAATTGCAAAATTCGAATTTTTAGGAAAATTGTTCAAACAAAAGTTGTTTTCGATATGATTTTCTATAATTTTTGTTCTATGCATGATTTTTCTGAAATGGACTGTAATGGAAAAATTTGAGGAAAAATGTAAAATTTTAAGTTTTCAATATTTTCGTTGGTAATGAATTTATACAATAGAATATTTCGAGTAAGATGTATGTGGAAAATGTATGTATTTTGGTTATCCTCTAAACATTTACAGGGGTGTTACAATAGGTTGTACAAAATTACCGAAAAAAGCCTGTAATAACTAGACAGGAAAGTCATGTGTTGGACACATCAGATTTTTAATATATTTTATTGCCAAAAATTCTATATTTTAAGAAAAATATAGAGGTATTTTAGATATTTTACTTGGTGCCCTGGTCTCGACTAGCATTTTTATTACTGAACTTACCACCTCTAACTTGTTTTGAAATATACTGTACTGATAATTAACTTTGAATTTTAGATCGATATATCTGAGGGAGAAACGTAGAAACACAGTAGAACCAAGTCCAGAAAAACAACTAGAAACTAACGGCAAACAAGCGGTACCCATGGAACACTTTGTAGAAACTACTCATATATAAAATAACAATAACCCATAAATTACAAAATATTAATGTGATACTAATCATTATAATTATAGTATGTTAAACATATATTTTTTTATTAAAGTGTTTTATTAATTAGACTGATTTAATTATTATTTATCAATTCACAATTCACTCATGTAATAATAAATAGATATTAAAGTATATATTAAGGAATATAATGTTTTATCATTATTAACTTTAGAACAACGCGTCATAAATAGTATATCAAGCGTTGTAAAAAGAAAATTACACAATAGAAAAAATAAACCAATTTAAGGATAGGATACATTTTTTGTAGTGTATCGGCATACTCGGTTTGTATTCATTTAAATTTACAAATATACTGAAAGGCATTTATTACAGTACATTTATGGAAATTAGAAATAGAGAACCTATCTTTTCGACGTATATGTATTATATACCCTATTATGTATTTTTTTTTTTTTTTTTTTTTTTTTTTACAAAAAAATATAATGATTAGCCTCCTATAATTTGATGTTATGAGCTCCCAGAACTTAACCCCCTCACAACTCGGGAGCCTCATATATAGTGACAACTGTTTGACCACACTTCTTTGTCTTTGTTGCCCTTTTGTCTAAAAGTCTAAATCAAATTAAATTTAAATGTTTAGCTAATCCCGGCCATTCATGTATCATCACTGGTCATGGAAATTTAGCTATTTTCACATTTTCTCCAATAAACCCTGACCTTTGATGGATTGTCTCACTGGAACTGTAACGGCCTCGCTCGGAAGAGGCCCTTGATCAAAAACCTTTTAAATTCACAAAATCTACAAATTTTATCATTAACAGGCACTAAGTTTAAACTCCCCCAGCTTCATTTGGTTTCAAACACTCCATAAAAAAAATCCAAAATTTATTTGGGAATGCTTTGCTAATTAAAAATTCAATACCTTTTAATAAACACACACTCATCTAGCGCCCCTCGATAGCAAAAGACCTTCTAATAGACAATCCAATAACTATAATCTCATATTTCAACCACCCAGGCCAAATCATCTCCACCCCACTGATTTCCTCGTGCTGTTTTGCTTGGAGATTTGAACTCTAGATCAGGGCCGACGAGAGAGGGGGGTAGCCGGGACAAATTCCCGGGGCCCGGCAGCTAGCTGAGGACGTTTTATTTTTTTTAGAAGCTCGCCATAAAAGGGAGGACCTGGTTTAAAAATACAAAGTAGGATCTTTTTTTAGATATCATTAAGAAAGGATATGATTTAGCTTGAAGACTTTTTTTTAAATGTAACAGAGAAAGGACTTGATGAATTGTATAAAATTGTTCCGGGACCCACCATGGCGCTCGGCGGCCCTGCCTAGACATACCATGTTCGGAGATCAAAACTCAAACCCAAACGGTATCCGCCTAGCTAATCTGCTTATTGATTACTCCATATTCAGAGCCTAAAACTGACTTCCGACCTTTGCATCTCACCTAGAATCATCTATTATCTACCACATCCTTTTTACAGATTCCTGTACTGGACTGGTTGCTCCATTGGAGAGACAATTACTTTCGATCATCTTCCATTAATGTCTTTTTCCCCGCTCGACCAAGAGCTACAATATACACCTTCCGAAATCTCAAAAAAGCAGATTGGCCATTATTTCATAGAATTAGCTCTGCAAATATTACATGGCAGCGTCCGCTTAATTCCCCACAGGACATCGATATACTGGTAACCGAAATCCAAAACCCAGTTCCCACACCGTCGAAATTTCAGCTCCAATTACTTCCATCGACACATCACAAAAGCCCTCCCCCAATTTATCCTAAATCTCATTCTCCAAAAACGCCGATTGTATAAACAATATGTCCGTACCCACGACCCTCTGTCATCAAAACTGAACGGAACCGTCTCAATGTCCTGATCAGGCTCCAAACTAACTTACACAAACAACAAAGATCATACCACCTCTAATTTAGATCATAGAGATGGTTCCAAGTTTTTGTGACAAATTCCAAATATCACTCGTCAAAAATCCAAGATTCACTCCCACAACCGCCGACGAAAAAATCCAAGACTCACTCCCACAACCGCCGACGAAAAAGCCCTAGCTCACAAAACACACCTGGAAGCCATCTTTAGAACTCCCTACAACCCCTACTTTGACGACCAATTCCGACACGAGACCGAACACAACGTCCTTCAGATCCTTGCCGCTCGAGTCCCACCTTTGGATGTCAAAAACCCCCTCACTGCCCCATTCACCCTCCAAGACATCATAAATGCCTGCCAAGCAGACAAAAACACGGCCCTTGGGCCCGATTCCATATATAGAAGAACGCTGAAACATCTTCCTGAAACCATGTTTACCATCCTCACCCTACTCCTAAACGCCTGTCACTCCTACTTTCGGCTTGTCTGGAAATCCGCTAACACCATTTTGATTCCCAAACCAGACAAGGACCCCAAATCTGTAGATTCATTCCGTCATATCTCTCTCATATCAGTACTAGGCAAACTTCTGCTCAAGGAAATAATCTAAAAGAACAAAACATAATCCCTCAATCCGAACATGGTTTCAGATCTCATCTCTCCACACAGGGCGCAATCTTCTCTCTTGATACTACTGCGGTCACTGCAGTAAACTCTCAATAAATCTTATCAACCGTTCTTCTAGATGTTTAAAAAGCTTTTCACCCAGTCTGTCATGCTGGACTAGTCGAAAAGCTCATGAACATAGGTCTCCCCCAGTATCTCCAAATCTGTTAAACTAGTATTCTCGCTGGTGTAGCAGATGGAGTGTCTCACGCAATCCACAAAAAACTCATATTTATACATCCCAACTCAAAAAGAAGCCACCCAGATACTTTAACACGTCAAAGCTCCTGGGAGGATTCGCTCAACAGACGGAAGTTGACTATTTGGGAGTGCAAGTCTCTCGTACACTCAACTGGTTCTCTGATGTCCAACGCTCTCTCGACAAGATGCGAAAGCGAGTCAGTCTCCTCGGGGCTTTGTATGAACGATTTGGGCCATGCAACCCAAACGCTTTAATTCACATATACAATTATTTTATTCGCCCCGTTGCCGAGTACAGAGAAGTACCTTACGGCGTACTTCCAACACATCTTGCCACAAATTCATCACACTCGAAAGACGTATACTCCGACGATGCCAATATCTTCCTTTTCGCTCTCCAGCACCCCCATTCTCACTCGTTTCCAAACCCTCAGGAAACAATATGTCTCTCGCACTCTGAAAGGCTCAAAAACACACTCCCAAAATACTCTACCAACCCCTTGGCGCCCACGCCGCCTCCCACTATTTCGAAAACCGAAAAGAAAACTCCCACAACCTAACTTAAGACTACTCTCAGACTCCCAAGATCTCCCACTTACCGCTTAACTCCAGATCTGCTGGACTCAGCCCCACTATCTATCAGATAAACCCAATCATATAATCTTCAGAAATCCCGACAACCCCTACTTTGACGACCAATTCCGACACAAGACCGAACACAACGTCCTTCGCTACGGTATGGTGATTTAGATTCTCTTGGTTTTCCTAATGATATTTCCCACCATTTATGAAGTTGGAAATAGCAAAATTGACGATATTATTTTGGGAACACAACCTGTCACACAGGTCCCACGCGTCGACACTTACTATTGTAATCGCAGGACACACCACCCTGAAAAGGAGAATAACTTTTATAGCAGGGTATTAGGAAAAATAAAATGTCCTAGAAAAATATAAAAAAGTCAATATTAAAAAAAAAATAGTGTGTCCAATTCGACTCGATGCCAATTCGCCGCGAAAACTATGTCATACATAAAACATAAGAGAAACACTTTTTTTCACTTCTTTCCAAAAAAAATACATTGGTGAAACTTAAGACCATTTAAAATGGAAGCATGTTATTAAAGAATTCTCAGAGAATCTTGTTTTGTTTGTTAATTATCTAAATAAATAATAATAATTAACATATCTAAATACTTTTTTCTACGTTCATGCAAAAACAAAACTTTATTGAACTATATTTAGTGAAAAAACTGGTTCTTTATTGCACTAGTGCAATAAAAATTTTATTGCGCTCATCTGTCATTTTACTACAGCGTTTTATGATCATGACGAACATAAATATTCAAATCAACGCCAAATATTTAGTCCATTTTCATTTTCTGTGTTACGTTTTAAAAATAATTGCTTATTTTATATTATTTCCAATCATTTAATAAATAAATTAATAAAAAAAAATACTTGTGGCACTCGGTGACTGCCGCGGTAAAGCTATTGCATAGCATTTTTTATCAACTTATGCAATTATAATTATTTATTTATTTTATTTATGAGGTGTTTTTTTTTATATATTAATTCAAGTTTTTTCTTTGATATTAATTCAAGTTAGGTACACTTTTTGAGCGTGGTGACCGATAAGAAAACTATTTTTTTTTCTTTTATTGAATAAATGAGAAGTTAATATTGTTTAAAATATTTTTATTATCTTACAATACATGTAGGTTATTCAGGCATTTTTATCATTGAAACTATAGGTTTATGGTAACTAAAATAAGAAACAAGTTTGAGACTTGATATCCTCTAAATATCTGGAAAATACCGCGTCAATGGTGGTCCCATATTTTGTTGTGGATTCTTGTGGATCATTATTCATTTTCAAATTCAATTTTTCCGAAATTGTGTCTAAAAGAGATAGAATCAGTTAGCAGCTAGTCTACACGCATACGTCTAGTCGCACGTACACAAAACACCGTGCCGAAGTCTGCCGAACTGAAACGACGTTAGACGATGCACGGCTTTCAACGCCGCACCGCTGTGCCGGTCGGAGTGGGGGTGTTGGTTTTTTTCGTTACGTTAGTTACGGAATTTCTTAATTCGGTCGCCGCACTCAAAGCCCGCGATAAAAGCTATGCAATAGCTTAAAAATGTATTTTATTAAAAATGTTATTACAAATTATGAACACAAACGTAAATAAATGCCTCACACAAAGGTACACGATCACGGCTACTATGATTTGGATAATACAACTGCAGTTCTATAAAACATTTTTTGGTTTTTGCATGAACGTAGAAAAAATATTGTATGCAACTCGTGCAAAAAGTGTTTATTGCACTCGACGTGTTGTCCAACTCGGCATGACGACAATTTCACGTCGCGTGCAATAAACACTTTTTGCACTTGTTGCATAAATAACTATTACATCCTTCATCTATTGAATACAAATTTTAGTAACGGGACTGTGGATAATGAGATAAATGCACTCAACATATTATCAAATTAATGGCACGTTTCGTGCATTCGCCAATGTGATATCGATAGTCCCATAACATCTACCACTCAGTATAAATATATGAATATTACGCGACCGGTTGTCAAAACTTGCTTGATTCAGGTTGAAAGACATTCATCGAACTTCGAGAATGATTTTTGGGAATTTATACTTCAACCACATGAAATATATTCTAAATGTAAATTTGTTAATTAAAAGGATTTTAGAAGCAAAATAATTTAATGTGAACATATCGAGGTCATAAAGGATTTTGTTATTAGGTAAGTAACAGTTTACTGCAAATTTAATGTCTTTTGTTTAAATATATAGGTAGATACAATACGAGGGCTATTCGAACAGTCACTGTTTATTTAAAGCAGAGGCAGTTTTCTGATGATTGTTACTTTAAAAACATGGGTGTTTGTGGGATTAGGTATTAGAGAACGCTATAACATGTATTCTATCATGAACAACAGGAGACATAAGGAATTATTCTGGCTAAACTAGTTAATGTAAAAATCTGATGTGTCCAACACATGACTTTCCTATCTAGTTATTATAGGCTTTTTCCGGTTATTTTGTACAACCTATTGCAGCATCTCTATACATGTTTAGAGGATAAACTAAATATATACATTGTCCACATACATCTACCTCGAAACATTTTTCTATAGATATTCATTGAAAACGAAAATACTGAAAAATTTAAATTTCCTACAATTTTTTCATTACGGTCCATTTTAGGAAAATCATGTACAAACAAACATTATAGAGATCGATATCGCAAACAACTTTTAGTTCAACAATTTTCATAAAAATCAGAATTTTGCACATTTTGTCAAATTTCTCGAATACGGACCATTTCAGGAAATTTTGACATAAAACAAAAATTAAATAAAAAATATAAAAATTACCACCTATAAAGTACCCCCCAGATGTTCCGACTCTGCCCAAAATCTAATCTGTTCATTAGATGCTGGAATAAAGCTTAAGTTTAAAATTTGGTGTTTTTCTGTGTCTCGGTTCATGAGTTATGCGACCTACAGACACACACACACACACACACACACACACACACACACACACACACACACACACACACACACACACACACACACACACACACACACACACACACACACACACACACACACACACACACACACACACACACACACACACACACACACACACACACACACACACACACACACACACACACACACACACACACACACACACACACACACACACACACACACACACACACACACACACACACACACACACACACACACACACACACACACACACACACACACACACACACACACACACACACACACACACACACACACACACACACACACACACACACACACACACACACACACACACACACACACACACACACACACACACACACACACACACACACACACACACACACACACACACACACACACACACACACACACACACACACACACACACACACACACACACACACACACACACACACACACACACACACACACACACACACACACACACACACACACACACACACACACACACACACACACACACACACACACACACACACACACACACACACACACACACACACACACACACACACACACACACACACACACACACACACACACACACACACACACACACACACACACACACACACACACACACACACACACACACACACACACACACACACACACACACACACACACACACACACACACACACACACACACACACACACACACACACACACACACACACACACACACACACACACACACACACACACACACACACACACACACACACACACACACACACACACACACACACACACACACACACACACACACACACACACACACACACACACACACACACACACACACACACACACACACACACACACACACACACACACACACACACACACACACACACACACACACACACACACACACACACACACACACACACACACACACACACACACACACACACACACACACACACACACACACACACACACACACACACACACACACACACACACACACACACACACACACACACACACACACACACACACACACACACACACACACACACACACACACACACACACACACACACACACACACACACACACACACACACACACACACACACACACACACACACACACACACACACACACACACACACACACACACACACACACACACACACACACACACACACACACACACACACACACACACACACACACACACACAGACATCATCGCGAAAATAGTCAAAACGGATTCAGGGGACCTCAAAACGTAAAAATCCGTCGAAAACTCGAGGTCGAAAAAAATCATGATTCCTATATTTTCCTTATATCTGTATACAGATAGGAAAGTAAAAATAGTGGATGAAAGTTAAAAAGAGTGAAGAAATTTGAAATATCTGTAGAAAAAGGACAAATAAATCATCAAGTACATAGTACACATGAGTTGAAAATGTTTATTTGGAATATCAGAAAAATATGATTATACAGGGTGTCCCATTAGTGCGTATTGTTCAATAGTTATGTTATAGATACACAAACAAAGTTTAAATAAAAGATATATGGATTTGAACAATACATATTTTAAAAATATTTTTGGATATAATACACTGTATTTGATTTTATTCTTAAAATGGTTTGCTAATCCTATGTATTTAACCCTAGAATTTTTTTTAAAAATATTGCAATGTTGCCAAGCAATTTTTTTTTTGAAATTAGAGAATGATGAAGTCCCAAATTAAATTATGATAATTTAAGTTTACATTGATTTCAAAATTGTTTAATATACAGACTTACGAAACATGTCTTAAATATGGCTAATTTTAAGTTCAATTTATTAATTTTTTTCAAATGCAACACTGTATATTATCTTAGCACAACAATAACACATCCCAGATAGCACACGACGTCTGAAAGACGTCTTTTTTGTGTCTTGGTTTGGTCTCAATGTCCTAGGACGTTATTAAGCCGTCTGTCAAAAGCCATAATTCAGACGTATTAATGTGAGAGCTCAAAGACGTTTTTAAGACGTCTTAAAGACGTCTTTCCAAATCCATATATTAATGTGAAAGCTCAAAGACGTCTTTAAGACGTCTTACAAACGTCTTTCAGTCGGACGGAAACTTGCACGGTTTACAAATTTAAAAGAAAAATCAAATGAAGTGAAGTTTGACGTTTGACTTAACACTACCTTCAAACCCAAGCTTATTAGGCATTCCAACGACCTGTCCAAATGGCTACCAGTGGGTAATGACAGTTTAGATATGGCAACCCTGTTGTCATGTTGTCATTAACAGGGTCAATGATACATATATAGTTATATAGATTGCTCAAAGCTGGTCGTTTACGAGCGGCCATATTGTCTGGTAAATATTTATTAATTTGAATCGGTTTAGCAAAAATGTGTTTTAAAACCAATTTTTTGCCTTTAGGTAATTAAAAAAAATAATTGCTTATATTTTTACTTTAAGGCATAAGCTTATGTTTATTTTGAAAAATATGGATGATCAATCTATGTAACTATCTATTTCATTGATCTTGTCAAATCACCAGGCCTACAGGGTTGCCATAATTTTGCCATATCATACCCCGTCAAAACCCACTGGTAGCCATTCAGTTTGGAATGCCTAATTGTTTGTGAATTATTGATTATTCTATTGCGTACGCGATTATAGCCGCCAAAAGTGTGTTTGGGCTACTTTGTGCATTTGTGTTTGGTCTCTTTTTACTTAAATAATATGGGACTAAAACCAGAGAAGGAAGAATAGTGGAGAAGTGTTCTGTGTAGTGGAGTTTCTGTTACCGATGTATCACGTTCCTGGAATACTTTCTACAAGTAATAAATGAATATTTGTTTATATACATAAACATTAATATCCTGTTTCTTCTAAATAAGAATAATTAAATGAATTAAAAAGTAAACATCTTTTATTATAATATTTAATTCAGTTATTCGTCAATTTCCTTTCTTTTAATTTTATGGAGATTTCGAAAACTATTGATATCAAAAGCCACATGTTAGACAGCCATTTTGAGTGAAGTTAAAGAAAATTGTCAAAATAGGCGATTAAATATAATAGCTCATCTTGTCTTAAATGATTTGTTAAAATTGTAAGAAATTAATTTTTTGTTTTTTGTTTCATAATTATTCTTTCGGTTTTTACTAACTTTTACAAAGTATAACTTCCTGTGACTATAATGCTCTTACCTAAATTTCTTTTTAGGAGCGACTATACAAAGGCAACTTCAAATCAAAAAGAAAGAAAAAAATCAATTCAGTTATGGCTAAAGAGGAGTGATCGAATGCGCTGCAAAGAAAATAACTCTTATTAACCTGTGATTAATAGATATTTTATCAATAAATATTTTTAATTCTATTTTTTGCATTCTTTATAACCTGCAAGGTTATTCTACTAATTTTAATAACCAAGATGCACGATGATACCCATTTTTAAATTATTTTATATTATAAACAGGTTATAGAATTAGCAGAATAAAAATAATGAACGTGTTATTTATGGCTTAAGTTTAACTAGACCATTATAAGTCATTAATAAAACATCTTAAAGATATATAATTTATGGCTTCACAAGACCATTATAAGCTATTAATAAGTCGTCTTAAAGACGTCTTATTTATGGCTTATATAAAGCTTCACAAGACCATTATAAGCCATTTATGAGACGTCTTATTTATGGCTTATCTAAAGCTTCACAAGACCATTATAAGCCATTAATAAGACGTCTTAAAGACGTCTTATTTATGGCTTATTTTAAGCTCTACAGACCAATATAAGCCATTAATAAGACGCCTTAAAGACGTCGCTTTTTGTAACATCAGACGTCTTCTAAGACGTCTTAAAGACGTCTTTCAGGAAATACCAGACGTCTTAGAGACGTCTCGAATGTCTTATGCTAGACGTCTTAAAGACGTCTTTAAGACGACTTTGTGCTATCTGGGATATACAGGGTGTCCCGTCAGTGCGTAATTGATCGATAGCTGTTTTATAATTAGATATACGAAGAAATTTTTATTAGAAAAGTTGTATGAACATATTTAACAATTATTCATAAATATACAGGGTGGTCCATAAACGAGGTCTTGACCAAATCTATACTTTTTTAAAGCAAAACACCCTGCAGTTAGTTATACATATTTTATTGTTTTCGGATCGTCCAACAATTTT